AAAAAAAAGAATTGAACATAAAAAGCTATTCGAATGATCTGCCCTTTCCATTCCAGGAAATAATCTTCCAATGTTAATCAGAAGCTATTTTATAAATTTTTTGAACATGGCATGTACATTGTAATTAAAATTTACATTAAAATGTAATCTAGTTAAGGGGCCGTCCATAAATTATGTAATGCAAATTTGGAGCAATTTGAATACCCTCTCCAATACTAGTGCCCCCCACCCCCTTATTAACAGAAGTAAAAATACGTTATAAAACAGAAAATTTGATTTTTATTAATTTTATTTCTGCTCAATATGAAAATTTATTATAATCAAAGTTGGAATTAGTTAGTAAGACAGACCGCACCTATTAATATGATTGGAGACTATTTTTGAGGAAGGATGCTTAGGTGAGAAAAATTCTGACAAGCCATGCCCCGCCATTGTGCATTATGCATAGGCAGAAGATTATTTGTGCCAATTTAATCGGATTCTAGAATATACTACAGATCAGTTATGCATCTTTTCTTCATAATCTACCAGATTCTATTAATACATCATTCATACAAAAATGTCTATTTATTATAACAATAATTTCTTACATTTATTTATATTAATTTAACTTTTTTGACATCTTAATGTTTTAGTACGTGACTGACTAAATGGAATTTCCGCAAAAGTTGAAAAATTATAACCATTATGTAACATAGCTAAATCCCCCCTACTTCTATGTAATGCAGCACAACGCAGCCTCAAACCCCCTCTTTGACAATACATGATATATGGACTACCCCTAAAGTTATTTTCTTCCTCAACATTTTCGGCCCAGTTACTGTGGCTTCAATAAGATACTATAGTACTATAACTTAAGAAAGAAAGGAATATATATTGCTTAAAAATGAGCATAAAAGTGTGCCTGCTTCTGAGTTGGTTGTCAAAGAGATCAGATCCCATGTTTTTGCAAATTGAGGGCAGTACTGCATCACAGGCAGTTTTCTGAAGTCAATGTTTTGATCTGTGAGCATAAACAGCTGGGCTTAAGTGATTTTTTTTTAGCCATCCCAAGAAGAGTTTCCTCATTACATCCCAGGAGATAACATATTCCATGCATAGAGTTGAAATTCCAGAAACTGAATGAGTTGGTCCTCTTTGAGTGTGACAACTTTTTCTGCAATGTATTTGGGTGAGAGACGATAAAACACAGTTTTTGAAAGTTTCATGTGTTTTTTTAGTACTTCAGTGTGATGAAATTGAAAATAAAACTAGACCTGTTCGAATGAAACGGTTTTGTAAGAGACAGTTCTGTGTATTTAACACTTCAGGTGTACTTCTCAACAAAACAAAGATTATGAAGTATTCATGAGGCAGTAATGCTAAATTACAACCTTACACACAATCACAATAGCCACAAAACTACTTTTGAACCTTGAACATATAATACATAAATATGGGATCTTGAAAAAGGGCTTCTACTTTCTAATATCAAACGATTCCTAAAACAGTAAGTTCTGCCAAAAAACAGATATATCAAAACTCTTTTAAGTTTCCACATTTATCAGAAGCAGAGAAAAAACGATAAAACCAACTTGAGTTTCACTAAAAAATGTAGTTAAGAATCATTTAGGAAACAAGTAAGATCTGATAATTTAATCATTGCCAAAGATGTAGTAGAACATCAAATATTTTGACTTTGTTTAAGCTTGAAGATCCTTTTTTTATCTTCTTTGTACATCATGGTGGAGAATGTTTCCGCTACGATGTGTAAAAGAGATGGAAAAGGGATATCAGGATCATTGGAATGTAAATGTGATTGGAGACTTTGGTTACATGCTACAATCTGATCTAGTCCAGAGGTTGCATAAGAAGGAAAGTTACATAGTGGCTTTCCATAGGAGATAGAAAAAGGCATTTGAATAGTTATTTTGTTATTGAAGATAATATGAAATGTGCAGTAATTTCATATACTATTTTCCCAAAAACATGTTTAATCTTTGGACATTTCCTCACAAACTCACTGAACATTTAATTCATTTGAATACGTCAAGTGCACAATGTGCAACACTGGTAACTCACGGAATAAAATTTAACTCTGAAATGGCATCGACCAAAAAGCTGTGCCTCTTAACCGCTCTCAGCCTCCATACCTTATGTCTCCATTTTTCCATACATTATCTTGCATTTCTTTTGCTGTTATAGCCTCTTGCACTCCCTGTTGCCACGCATTCCTGCATCTTCCTCTCCTGCATTTTCTGCTGGCATCCATTGCAGGACTAGTTTTGACCATCTTTTGTCTGTCATGCACATAATATGACCCTACCAGACAATTTGTTTTTGCTCTATTTCATCAATGGTAGTATTTTTATGTCCATTAATTTAATAAAGTTTTCATAAAACTTAAATTTGCATGTCTTTTATATGCCAGCATACTAATGCATTTTAAAACTATTTTTATGATTTATTTCAACAATTTATTAAGTAAAATACTTCAGATGTCATTTTTCTTTCTAGATAGTCTGTGATATAACTGAAGTAGAGTCATTCTTGTCATTTTGCAAACCAAACCACTTGCCATGGATAAAGACAAGTAAAAGCAAAACTAAGACTTATTCATAATGGGTTTCAGTAAGGAGAGGTTCATAAGGTTTCAAAAGAGAGAATTTCTGAGGAAGGCAAATTGCACCTAATTTATAATATCAATATTTCTTGAAAACATACATGTAAATTATGCAGGTGCAAATGCAATCCCGTGACTTATGATGGTGTTATGTTTCTCACATTAAAATCTTATCAGTGTTGCATATTATGCCAAAACCATTTCACTAACATTTTCCCCTTCTTATGTGAGGAAACAGAGCAGCAGGTTTCCGCATAAAAGAGTTCTCACAGAGGCACATTAAAATATTGCTTTGACATCTGCAACTCTTCAAAACTAATTTCACAGGAGACCATATCTTCACATATCTTGTCATCCTGTGATTATTTGAACTAATTTTCTAGCTTGAATAAACAGACAAGAGCTAATTAGATATTAATCAATGACTTCAATATTATTACACTAATTATCAATACTACATTCACTAATATTTAGTTTAATTAGTGTAGAGATAATGTATGTCCCAAAGATAGCATTGTGAAAACTGTAAATGAACTTGAAATGAAAGGTAAGGATGCATTTAGTTCACAAAAATGTGGGTTGAAATCAACACAAATTCAAAACTAACAATTAACTTAATATTCTCTTCTCTTCTTCTGTAGGATGATGCAGGAGGGAAAAAAGGTGCATGAAGTTTGGTACATCAAAGGAGAGTATACAATTTAGGAAGCCCACTGATTATTGGAGCAGTTGTTACTTGGGTACTGTAGACCCTTCAAAACTAGAACTGGCAAGAATGCTTCTGGTTTCATGTATCCAGATGTTCCTTTATCTTATCAACCCAGAATCAAATAGTCCAGACCTCCTTGTGCTCAATTTGTCTGATAGGAAACAGGCAATTTTTGATTCAGATGAGAGTGGACAGTCAGATGACACAAATATTGCACATCCTCACTTTGTAGTGAAGAGGAATCTATACTATACTAACCAAAATGACATAAATGATTTGGTCAGAGATCTTGCTCCATCCAAGTCAAATGGTGAGCCTTTCATATCATGGTTTAAGGAATGTCACTTTTTGATTAAAGTGTGAAAATCACAGCTCAGAGGAAGCATATTTTCTCAAGTTCCTTCCCTCTCAAAATGGACCATTTTTGCCACAAAATTAGCAGTTTGAAGAAGTTTGCAATGTCTTAAATCCACCTGTGTGGCACCTCTCAGCCTTAAAGCTGTGTTACTACATAAGATACAAGTATCCCTCTCTATGGCCTCACTCAATGCACCTCAAAATAAATTATAGCTGTAACAAGATTTTGCTAGAAGCATGAAGTACAGTGAGTGTGGATTTAAGGTTATCAGAGACTTGAAGATGGTAGATGGTAGGTCTCCAAAGTGGTTTTACCAAGTTTCCTTTCTGTCTTTGTCTTTGGGATAGGATAACACCAAGGCACACTTCAACAAGCTCCTTTGGCCTTTGTAGACTGAGTTCTCTGTGGGACACAATATTAAGTGGGACCTACTATTACAAAGCAAGGTGCTTATGCCTCCACTGCCCATAAAGCCGTGGTTTAAGAAGAAATTTATAGGAACCCTAGATAAAAATTCAGCAGTTTTCAAAGATGGAACCTTCTTTTTTAAATTGTCCAAGGCAAAGATCAAAGCAGGTGTTTTTGTGGGACCAAAACTATCCACCAATGCAATAAATTTAACCCATGCTTGATGAGAAAGGAAAAGCTGCTTGAACCAGTTTTTTCAGGAATTTCAGGAAGCCAAAAAGCGTGAACTAGTCCAGAACAGTGAAGAACTACAGTTCAAAAGGCAGCAGAATGTCACAAAAGGTCCATATGGTTGATGCTCATCTAGGTACGCTGGAGGAGAATAAGAAAGCTTAGTTGGAGGAACAAGAGGGTGCTTCCGTCACAGCATGCTGAAGTTTGGTTTACTTTATTTGGGGGTTAATACGTGAAAGCGAACTAGAGTATACACGTACTGTACCATCTTCAAAAATGATGCACTTCTCAACATATTCTGGTGTTTATTTTTAGTATAGTCCATGTATTTTAATTTCATTCAACATAATATTTCTTTGCTAGTTATAATAAATTAAAAGAAATGGCAAATTGGCCACTGTCCTAAATTTAAAAAAACGTTTTGCAAATGTCTTGTCTTGCTCATAAAACCAAAGTTTGACATGAATAATTACGTTTTCCCTAACTTTCTGGACATAATCAAATCGGAAAATAGCATTTATTCAAAAACTGTAATATATAGTGTAATCAGACAACTTTACCTATCTTGTTACGTTTTACATCTTCATTAAATTTACACCTTGTTTGTTAATATACAGGCACCTATTACTCAGCAACCTCAGGGAATGTAACTTACTATACACAAACCTACAGTAAGATTAGGAGAATTCAGAAGTACACCTCTCATTTTCCCCCAAAATTTACTCGTCAGCATAATTGTTGCTCAAAGATATAATTCTCATTTCTTATTGAACTTGCAAATTACTTTAGAATAGTATGTCAGTGAACTAGTGTGTTTCTAGAAAATGAAAAAAACTTCCTTGCACATAACCAACACAAATAATTGAAAATTGCTAAGTGCCTTGGTGGGCAAATGGTTAGCTTGCTGACCTCTGAACCCCCATTGTATGTGATCAATCCTGGCTGAGGCTTATGTATTTTCAAACGAGCGTAAAATTCCAAGAGAATATGTCATGCGTGTGGCATGAGAAAGATATCTGGTAGGTGTCCACAAGAAATTAAATTAGCTTTTTCAGTATCAAGGATCCACAAAAATGGATTTCAATTAAACACCATAGAATAAGTTATTTACAAGTAGAAAAGATTGGAATTATCAAGTTTTTCAGAAGCAGGAACCCACAATACTAGGTTTCTGCTGCAGCATTCCAATTCTATTTCGACACTACCCACGTAAGAGTATGCAAGAAAGTTAAAATGAAATAGTCAAGATAATTAAGTGTGAGGATTGTTAACTCCTATTTAATAGGATTGGCATGTGAGTTTGTTTATTTAAGGCCTGCATCACTCGAGCGTTATGTTGATGCATGAAGTAATGCATATCGTACATTAACACCTGTATCTTTTGTGGAAAGCCGAATGAGCTAGCGTGCCACTTTGCACAAGATACAGTGTTATTCTAGGGCATGCGTTACTTATCACGCATCAACACAACGCTTGTGTGCAAGGGACCTAAACGTGGCTATGGCACCTCCCTAAAATGACACAACTGGGTTTGACTGACATCTCTGCTCTAAGAAAGAAAGCAGGCTGACATAACAACAGCAAAATTGAAAACACTAATTATGCATTTCACCGACAACCCACTCTAAGTATGTGAAGCATTTCATTAACTTATTTCAAAAAGCAACACACACAAAATTCTATCCAGACTTAACTTATTCTCAGAATACAGAAAAACATTCATATATTATCTTTATTTGTTCATTACACAGATCTAACACTGTAGATCAGTTAGTTGTACAATATGTATACTTTTATATCTTACTTCAATCTTGGAATAGTGTCACAAAAATATCGACAACATACATTTGGACGCAAATGTTTGCATCAGTAAGTAGTTTCGATAAAAAAGTTATTTGAATATGACCAAACGAGTATGAAGTACAGAACAACATACAAATTTCACAATATAAATAGCAACCACAAAATTAACCACTTTTTCAAGATGATTGAACGAAACATTAAATAAAATACCCAATATGTTTCTGGAAAATCGCAATATGGTTCTGTGTATACAGCAAACAATTATAAAGCAATTTTTCATCATTTGCAGAAACCCACATGAAATTAAAACTTCATCATCCCAATTTCTGAAATTCAATGTTGCAGAGATACACCTGAATCAAATTAGCTTATGTTTTATTACCTTGTTTCAACTATTTTAAAGCTGAAGTCTGATATTAACTTCCATTATTAGAAAAAATATATTTCAAAATCCATTAGTAGATAGATTTTGATAAATAAGATGCTAGTGTAGGTTAATTTATGGAGAGAGAAAGTTTTCTCACATTCACAACAGACTTTGCAAGATTTACACCTAATGTTAGTAATCTGCTTCCCTAATTCTGAACCAAATTAAAGATAAATTTGATTGGTTAATGAATCAGTCAACCCTCTTATTAATAGAGATCATGGCAATAACAAAAACATTTAAGTGCTTTGGAGCTTATGATACTAAATCAAAAGATGGCTTAAAAGTTCAACACAATAAATTCAAGACATCACTTGCATTAGAAATACACATTTTTCTCATGCATAAGCACCACAATTTACAGTCAATAAACAAATACCCAGCAACTATAAACTTGGAACTGGTGGGTTTTCAATGACCAGGGACTGCTAGAGCAAAGACTGTTCTAGCATGATTTTATCAAAACCGGCAGGAGGTGGATGATTGAAGTTGTCCAAGATAATGTCTAAGATAGCTCCATCACCAACTGCAAAAGAAATTAGGAATCCTCATTGAAATCATACCACTAACAAAGTGAAAAAGTTGGATGTAGGATTATACAGAAACAAAGTTTTCTCTTGGAAAATGTAAAAGGTAACAGACCATACAAGGCAGGATACACCTGACCACGCACTCCAGTAATGCCACTATCAATTGACTTCCCATTTATGTAGAACTTCAATTCTATGTGATCATAAGATATGCCCTGAAAAAAGAAAATAATGACAATAAAAGATCAGATGGTCTTGAAATATGAAATATTTTGTAAACTATTTACCAAAACATCCCCTTCTTGGGCAACCTCCTGGATTTTCTGAAGTTCTGTTTTGTTGTGGCGAAATATTCCATCCCAACTTAGGACCCAAGATTCTGAATCATGACCACCTGGAGAATCATTTAGATCTGCAGACTGTGTGGCCAAACCAACACCCCATATCCCTGAGGAAAGCACAAAAGTTGACACAATTGTTTGAAAAAAATAACAATTATTATACTACAATTTTAATTCCTGATGTGTACCTGATTGTTGAATTTTGACCTCAAAATATGATTTACTCTGAACCAGTGGTGCACTAGCTAGAGCACCTCCACTTCCACAAATTCTTTGCCCATTTTTCACAATAACAACTTCATGGCCTATGAACAGCGAGAACCAAATATTTCTTCCATACTAGCAAGTTACAATTATTTCATCGATAACATAAATCCATTGTAATTTTTTTTTTCTCAGTATTTCTACTCAACTTAACATGCACACAAGTTATTTACGATGTTTGATAAAGTTTTTTTGATGTATTTAGTTTTTGGATTTCAAATCTGGATAATTTCCTTTTTTTAAATATAATTACAACTATGCACTTTGGGCGTTTTCCCGCATTATTATTAAATATAGTTATCAATCTTGCTTTTGAAAAAGTTATTTGAACATGTAATTTTTCCCAGGTGTAGAATCCTTTCTCGACCGTCTTTTCATTGACTTTCCTAGCCACACTATTTGATCTTTTCCATGGTGAAAATACCATAATTGTTTCTTTGCTCGACGAGCTAACGTCACAGGAATTGAACGTTATGCCATAATACATTACATGTTATAAACAATGAATAACTATAACCAGTAACTTACCCATGTGTCCCGTATCTAACGTAATTGGATTTGTCTCCCTCTTAGGCAAGGTGCTGGGGGAAAAACCAAGCCCGTCGAAACAATTTCGAAGACAACAGAAAACTACGGACATCTTAACCTATTTAAAATCGATGCATTGCATCGTATGCTCCCCTACTTCCTAACTGCAAAAGTTCAAATTCACCACATTCATCGCTTGAAACTTAACGAAAACATATTTTCTCAATGAATCTGGACAATGCGTCTCCAGACGTCGGTCATGACAATACCACTACACAGCAAGGCTTCCCACCCCAGTTCCCTCCCACTGCTTACAAACACCTTGCACCCTGCAAGAAAACAACTGAATCAACGTTCCCAGGAATCTAGAAATTTAGTTGTGGAACCCGAAGGACTACTTTTCTTTCTTCCAGCAGATGTTCAATTATGTTGTTTACTATAGTAGACAGAATAGTACGAAATTAAAATGCAATTGAGGAAGAGAAGCTTATCAACTGAGAGGAAGACCGCGGTCACTGACATTCGTTAGGCGTGCAGTACTATCAAATTATTTTAAACTCCCAATTTAGATACGTGATGATATTACTCCAAATTAAATTCCTATGCCAAATTAATGCTGTTTTTTTCGACTTGTTAGAAGTATAAAATAACTAGCACAAACGTAGACAGAAAAACCAACATGGGAAAAATACTGCATATGTTCACTGTTCTCAATGTAATGTGTATTGCAATCGGAATGCCACTAAGCAACAATATGACTGCTTGCCCTTCAACACCGGCACAGCGAAACATCAACATTGACGAGGTAGGTTACAGAGCAAATAAGTATAATTTAATAGCTTTAGTTACTAAAACTGTGATTGACAGCTTGTGGGAAAATGGTACTTGGCAAGCCTCTTATTCCACGAGCCTGTGGAAAATGTTAATGTGATTGAGGAGGAAGCAGCATGCATGAAAACAGACTTCACTAAAGTGAATTCTACATTCATGAGCCAAGTTTGGGCAATCCATTCACCGACAAGGAATACTAGGATGGTTTTTGAACTCCCCACTGTGTTAGACCATCCTGGATCTTGGATTGTTACATCACCTTTAGGAGGTAACACAAATTTTAAATGTCTTGTACATTCAATTGAACACAGCTTATGACAATTCCTTTTTTCAGTTCCATTTCATGTCACCGTGATTCAAGTTCTCCCCAGATCTCATATGGTTCTAGTTTTCTGTGCTGGTGAGAACACACTTCAATACTTGTGGACTGCCATTTTGACTCGGAAAACAAAGCTCACTCGTTTTGATACCATGTTATCCAGTATCATCACTGGATATGGATTTGATTTTACAGAACAATTGCCTATTTGGCATTACTGTTTACCAGCAGCGACACAAGATTGAAAGACCTGCTTAAGCCTTTTTAAAAGGTATTAAGATGTAAGATGCTAAACAAGGAACTGTGGTATTAAAGGAAATAATAAAAAGCAAGTTGAGAGTATTTTTTTTTATTAAATTACATGATAAACACCCCAAATCAAATGGTTCATACTCTTGAGCACTTAGATTCGAGATGGATATAACATCTGCAAAAAGGAAAAAAAAAAATTATTAAAAATTCAAAATTATAATTTGCGATATTTACTTCTGTCTGTACTCACAATTCGGACACGGTGTCCCATTGCTGCAGGAGGAAGATTTCTTTTAAACTTGGCTCTTACAGATCCAGAACAGCCATGAGGACGAGTCACTTTACCCCAAATTGCACGCACTCTGGATTTCAATTGAGGTTTCCCGGGATGCGCAGCTTTTGTCTTGGCCTGTCAATAAAATCACAGAATAAAGACAAGAGTAAAGATAATCAAGACCACAATACCGATACAATTCGTTTCCTTTACAATTGACAAGTAAATTCATACTAGTACTCTTGATGTAATGGAACTTTACAACCTTCGCTTATCACAAAACATTATTCCTTAAAATAAGAATTTTCCAACAAGGTAGTTTACAATGAAGTGAATTTAAGTATGAGTAATGTTATGTAAGGTAAACTGAAAAGGGAATATGTTTTTATTTCAAGGATAAACAATGGTGTAAAGTTCCACGAAAAAGAGGGAAGTTACCCTCTCCCTTACATAGCATTACTCATTTAAAAACGCTTCACTGTAAACTTACCTCAGAAGTATGTACTGAAGACATCTGTGAAGTTTTTACTCCATGTTGACTTATGTATGTTAGCAAATTTTCCAATCTGATTCAGTTGCAATGATTTTTTATGGTATAAGCTGCAACTAAAAATTTTGTGGTAGTTCAATTTTCTTTGTTTTAATCCTTTGGTCCAAGTGCGAAAATTTTTATTAGAACTTATGCTAAGCACTTTCTGCTTTATCAATGGCAATTCAAATAGCTCTTCCAAACTCCCTCCACTATTCCTCACATCACCAGGCTTCCAATTCTCCATTTTCCTTTCAAGAGCTTTTATTTTCTCTTCTTTATTACCATCAGTATTGTCCTTTTGTTCATCCTTTACGTTATCTTGTTCATCCTTACTCTTGGAAGCACTTTCTTCAGGTTTAGAATCATTTTCAGGCACTGCAACTCCACTACTTTCATTTAACTGGGAACCATCTGGGCACAAATTTGGTCCAGTAGAGTGCTGTGACAAATCTGATTCATTGGAAGATAACGGCCTTGATGAAGGCATTTTCCCCATAGAATAAAATCTATTAAGAAACTCTTTCTTTGCTGAAAAAAACTCTGATTCTATTTTTGCATCATTAGAACCAGTTTCTCCATTATTGCTTTCCAAATAACAGTCAGTCACCGAAGTACCACTGAGAGGATATAGCCACCGAGCACACAATCTGTCTCCAAAATAAGAGCGTAATACTTGATCACTTAGAGCTACCCTCCACATCAACATGTTTCTTTCACCTGAAGGATCTCTAATGTTTTCAAACATCTGTAGATACAAATATCCTACTGCTTTCAATAAGCATCCTTCAACTTCTAAAGTCTCGCTATTAGCAGGGAGTTTGTCAAGGAAGTCAAAGTATTTTTCTATGTGAGGCCAAAAGCAACAGTTTAAAGCTCTCACACCCAAAGAACACAACACAGACAAAGCACCCAGATGACTACGTACTGAACAATTTGTGTCCAAAAGTATTACTTGCATCTTTTTCAAAATATTATCTAGCATCGAATCATCACATCCATACCAGTTCACAATCACTTTTGCCACAGCTTCAGATGCCAATCCTCTAAGTTCACAATCTCTAGACACAGAGACAAGTTTAAAGGGCATTGGATCAAGAGCATACACAAGCAATGATGTAAGCAAACCACTAACAACCACAGCAGCATCACGATAGACATAAGGATTTAACGTGAGGGAATGCAACATCAATAGTAAACGTTCACAAGCATCACTACCTCTGGGGAGTGCTTGCAGACCTTCAATAAATAGATTCAAAAAATATGGAACCACCAACGTTATTTTGGAATTTGTTCGAAGATCTTGAAACACAGCATTAAGTACTTCTCCGTTTTTACACAAAATTATTTTTGCAAACATAGTGTAATAATTAACAAGATGAGATGGTACTGCAGAAATACTTGCAGGTGACTCTGCATCAGAAGTAGATGTAGACGCTTCGATCTCAATGCGTGCACTTTGAACTGGATCAGGTGAAATCCACATTCCTCGCACCAAGTGTTCTCCCTTTTGCAGAAAGATCTGTCTCTCGAGAGCTATTTGAGGTAAATTTATAATCAGTTCATTATATTCACTAACAAATACATCTGCCTCTGACACATACAAAAACTCAGATGAACCACCAGACAAGTAACCATACACTTTCATTTCACTGCAGTTTGGTAACACTCTTGCAACTACAGTACTTCTTAATATTTTTTCATTACTGTTCCGCATGTGTACACTGCACCCCTGAATAATTTCTCGTAATCTGTAAGTTACATCTTCTCCAATTTTACTTGCAATTTCTTCATTCAACTTGACAATACCACAAGATTCGGCAAGGGAAACAATTGAGTGTGGAGAAATCACCGCATATTTTCTGCCTTCTAATGGCTTGTCAGTTCTCTTTTTGTAAGACATTTTTTCCATTTTCTCACTCATGCTTAAAGTCAATCCTTGGTTAAGCTTAGGCTTTTAAATTGAACACAGTAAAAATTAACAAACTGACATTGTATTTACCTTATACACATACACACAGCGTTTCCCGACGTAAAACCAACTAGATTTTTTTGTACCGCAGCCAGGGATGGTTAAAAGCGCTGTGTTTTCGTGCTGATTGCGCAAGCCTCGCTTAAAACCGGTGAAAATAGCCCTTGCATACAATCTTCCAGCGCGTTTAGTAGGCCTCTTTGTTTGAGTCTTCTCAACAGACTTATCTTTAGAGACTTTACTTTTCTTCTCCTTCGACTTTTTCTCCACAGCGGCCTTGGGACCAGTTTCCTTTGCTGTGTCAGCCATAGAGACTTAACTCAAGCAACCTAGAAAACAAAACCCACATCATATTCAGCACTACACGAAATTATTTAAATTCCAAAAAAGCAACACACAAGATTGTCAAGCACGGCTAGATCACTCGTACCCATCCACGCGCCACCAGAATCCACATACATCCAACAAAATAACAAGTAAAATACAAAAATTTCCCGTTTGTATCAAACAACGTTATACAGTAATACTAAAAGTACCAAAATAGTGGCAAATACTAACAGATAATCCAATATAAACGTTAAAAACTAACACATGTTCTCACTTCTTCCCTTACTTACCTCGCAGAAATGGCGTCACCAATGCCTTTCGGACCGGAAAAGAAGTCCTTTGAGAGTGCACAGAGTTTAAAGCTTGGTGCATGGCGCTCTCTCTCTCTATCTCTCTGAGCTAGATTTCCCTGTAAACAAGTGAAGACGTCACAGCAACGGAAATAGAAAACGATCGCGTTTGACTCGATAAAAGAAGCGCCAAATTAAAATTAAAATTGCACTACGCACTGTGTTTACCTTTACGACACAGCTGTTGCAATTCCATCATTTTTATTGCATCACTATATCTGAAGATATGGATGACATTCTTGATGAGTTCCAAGGGAGAAGAGGGCAGATGTTGGTAAATATTGATGTTGACGATGAAGTCGATCAGCCTATTTTCAAATCAAGACGTTTCTCAGCAGGTAAATTCAAGAGAAGTTCAAGGTTATTAATGGCCACTCAAGAAACAGTTCAAGAATCATCTGTTCGTCGGAAAATACACCCCAAAAAATCGTTGATTAATCCTTCCAGAGTAGCAAAACCATTGGTATCGAATGCAGGTGATAAATTAAGATACTCTAAAGATAAATCACTAAAGAATCGAATATCATTATCAGGTGGTATGTCAAGTATTCTGACAGCTGCTTTAAAAACAGCAGTAGCAGCAGATATGCAAGATAATTTGATGAAATCACCAGACTTCAGGAAAGCGAGTCGTAAATCAAGGAAGTCATTATTTCATGATCCAATGGTTTTATTGCAATCTGTGAAACATCATAGAAATTTTCTCAGTACTTTAGAAGCAACAGCAGTCATTGCAGTTTTTGACAAAATTATAGATGAATTAGCAGTATTGAAGAGCTTATTGCCTCAATGTTCTATGAAAGATGTACTTCCTGATTATCAAAATATTGATGAAAGGTACTGACAGTTTTAATGATGAGTTTAGTACACAATAGAAAATATATGATTATTCACATAAAAGTTAAAAATAATAGATAAAAGTATTATTTTCTTATTCAGGATTGAGTCTTTCAGAATAGAACTATAATTTCCTTCCTGCCTTCAGATTATACTTGTCATATAAGGGCATATTCATATTTTTTAAAATTTTTTTTATCTTCTACTTTCTATAGTTTGTACTACTAACTTGGTTTCACCAGTTCTCTTTACATTTTCCTTCTTGTGTTCTATTTCATTTGCTGATTTGGGCTATCACCTGGGAAAAAAGTGTTCAGGTGGTCATGGAATATTCAGTAAGCTGATTCAATTAATGGTAAAAGTAAACCATTAAAATATATATCTGTGCCTCAGAGGTCAAGAGTTACATCTCACAATTAATAACTATATATATATATATATATATATATATATATATATATATATAATATATATATATAATATATATATATATATATATATATATATATATTATATATATATATATAATATATATATATATATATATATATCTATATATATATATATATATATATATATTATATATATATACTATACTATATAGTGTGTGTGTGTGTCTATATATATTACACAACACACACACACACACACTTTACACCTCTATCATCATCATATCGTGTCATCCTCATAGTTACCAAACCGTGATACACAATAGTGGTTGCTAATGACCTAGTAGTTGATGTGACCTTAAATAAAAATAAATAAAAAAAGGCATATTTAAATATTTCTAAAAGAGGAACATTTTTCTTCTTGCTTAATGTTTTTATTAATTCAATATTAACAACCTGTATACTTTTTTTCAATAAAGCAATAAAAATGGTATGTAATATGGCAAATATTTATATATTTTAAGTGTCTTTTATTAAAAAATTGAATTTTTACTTTGGTTTATGAACAGTTTGTTTCTATAATTCAAAACAATTGATAAGTAACTTTTTCACGAATATAGAATGCTGAATGGTGCATCTTTTCAGTAGGTCCCATATCACGAGTCATACCCCATACCACTACTGTTCTCATGATATGCTTCTTTTCTCTTCTTGGTTTAACTATTGATTTCCAGCTCCTTCTGGTGTCACAATAATGATGAATTCAAAAGATTTTATTCAATATAAATGAGATATTGTCATTAGGGGAGATAGGTGTGTGTCTATGTCTCTCCCTCCCCCCCCCCACACTTTTCCTATTTTCTTTTTTTTGTTTCTCATTCAAGATTTGGAGAAAAGTAAAATCAAGGGGAGTTTGTGTGCTAAGACATAAAAATATTGGTGTACCGGTTTTGATGATCAAAAGTTATCCTCATTTGAAGTTTATACTCTCTCTCTTTTTTTTTTTTTTTCATGTTTTTAAGACAAGTATTTAAGAATCCAAATTGCAATTTCTCATGTTCTATTACAATATTCAAGTTTATATATTCTGACACTAACTAAACATGTATTTTTTTAAAAAATAATTTTTATGTAGTCTAAGTCTTCTAAGTTTTCTATGTTCTTCTAATACAGATGTCATTTTTATTACTTGCCAGAAATGGTAGAGGTATATTGTCACATATGCCTATATAGTCCATAAATTATGTAATGCAAATTTGGAAAATTTTGAATACCCCTCTCCTCCCTGTAATGTGAGAGGAACCCCATCTAAATAACTATGTAATGCTCGCAAACCTCCACTACCTATTATTTAGAAAAAGTAAAATAAATTATATAGCAATTAAAACAATATAAATTAATTATAATTGAAGTAAGAATTAATTGGTGATACTGACTTTACCTAACAATAAGACATTGGGACAAATTTTACAGGATGGAAGCATTGGTGAGAAATTTTCAGAGTAGTGCACCTGTTGGGGAGGCTGCATGTGTGGGAATTTATTGGATCAATTTAATTGTATTCTAGAATTAACTGTAGGTTAGTTTTGAATATGGTAATCATAATCCAAGATTCAAGCAATAAACCATTAATGAAAATATATTTTCAATTATTGTAAGCATTTATGCATCATAACTTTTTAATTTATTTATATTTTTTAATTTTGTATATAGATGTTGTAATCTTTTAGTGTATGGCTGAATAAAAGGAATTATTTCAGTAAATATTGGGGAAAATTAAACACAAAAAAGAGAAAAAAACAACCAATATCAATGTAACATTACATCAAATTAACTTCCTCATCCCCCCATGAAATGCAGCGTAATGCTTCCTTAAACCCCTTCCTGCATTTTTTAATATTACGTAATTTATGGACAACCCCATATTCTTTCATATGTATTTCTGACTAATACAAAGAAAAGTGAAAAGAGTTTTGCGAGCATATTGGTATCGTTTCTTACATAATGGCCATGCTTCTTGTCAAGGAGATATATATAAAAAATAATTGTAATGTTCTCTGAAAGGGAATTATTCCTAATTCAACAACAAAAAGTGTTTCCAATTAAAACATATTCAGGAATATTAAAAATAATAGTATTTAAGTAAAAGTATCAAAAATGAACATAAAATAATGGGGAAATTGAGTTTGAAGGTAACTTTGTAAATTGGTCTCTTAAAAATAAATATTTTAATCCAAAAAAGTTTATTTTCACTTCCATGCTTCTGATTTAAAAATCTTGAAAAGAAGTTGTTTTTGAAAATTTTTTCAATGAATCGAAATAGTTTTCATTAGTTCTAATAAATTTAGAGACACCTGAGGAAATTCTGTCCAATTTGACATGGAGTGACCCTACTACAATTTCTTTCTTCCCATGGTCCAACTACTTATGTATGAGATTGCTTAACATTGTATTAAATGCCAGAGTTTGAATCTCGTTAACTTCTGATTTTGCAAGGCAAAAAAAGTGTCAAATTTTTAATGGATTTCCCCTGTTTCTCCAGTCATTTATTCTATAGTCCCCAGATCATCTTCCACCTTTGTCTAAATCTTACATCATAATTACATGTTCTTGAGTGTTGTAATTTTAAGTTTCTTTAATTTTCTAAGAAATAATTAATTATCCTTTACAATGAGTATTTGGAGAAACATATCTCATTCACTGATTGACAAGTTCCATCCTTATTCAAGATTTAAATATCTCTACAGATTTGGTAAAGAGGAAAGTGCATCTTCACCAAACATGGATGAGAGACCCAAGAATGAAGATCTTGAGAAACTACAGAAAGACAGGTATAATAACACACTTCAATGATGTAGGAACACAAGAAGTGTTTTTAAAATTAAAGCAAGGTATTCTTGTAAAAACTTTGACATTAAATATGAAGTACAGACTATTGTAGCATTCTAACACTATGTTTACAAATTATTACTAAAATTAAGAAACTTCACAATAAGTATTTGGTTAGTAATGAAAATGTACATAACTATTGTTCTTGAGGTCATAGCATTCATTAGCAAGTCCTCTACTATCTAAATCAATTACAAAAAAATATATCATTTGCATAACAGCATTCCAAAACTTTTTGGTGTCGAATGTGAGGAGTAATCCTCCTTGAACAAAAGACAGCCATATGTCAAGACAAATTGTCATTCAAAGCTAAGTCTTATCAGTCACGGACTCTGTGCCACTAGTATCTGGTATTCTCAGACTGTCGCCCATCCAGGAACCTGTAGCAGCTTAACTTCCTTGACTTCTTGGAGGTTGGTTAAGAAGTTCACTTATTGGTGCACCTTCAAAACATTCCTTGAGTGTCATCGTATGGCTGTATATCAGTACAAAATGAATGAGTTGCTGAAATGTTTGAAGTTCAGTCAAATAAAAACAATATATAAAAATTAGTTCTGTAAGAAACTATGCTTGTTTACTGAGACTATTATGTAAATAAAAGAATTTTAAATAATAATAATAATAATAATAATAATAATAATAATAATAATAATAATAATAATAATAATAATAATAATAATAATAATAAATTATTTATTATTATAAATCAACAATAATTAACCAGTAAATTTTATTATCAAAGAATCCTTTTGTTTCAAGACATGTTTCCAATATTTATTTATTCTTGTGTGAATTGTGAATTTGAGTCTGCTTATGAACAGTAATACTTTATACTTAGGAACTATTTTACTGCTTCAACAATATTTATAGTTACGAGTGATGCAGAACAATTTACCCAAAAAATTTTACCCAATTTACCCAAGCTTTTAGCTTGTCAGTAAAAAAAATATTTCTTATGTTTGGAGGCTTATGCACTATGATTATTTGCAAATTTATAGAATTTTCCTTTGAATTATCATTTCCCATTCATTGCTTCAAAGTGAGTTGCAATATGTTGTACTTTTATTGAATATTATTTTACATTTACAGATGACTACTGGTATGTGACCTCCAGTCTTGCTTTCTTGCAGATTATAGATACATTTCTAGTTCTGTATTTATCAGGATTTCTCATGATCTTTCACGTTGGTTTTGGTTTAGCATGTTATATGAAAAGGAATATTTTCAAGAACAAAATGTATTCCATTCCCATGTTATTTGAGAGTTTGTATGTTTAGATGAAATACAGTCATTTCTTATTTATTGGCCATATATTCAAGGAGAGTTGAATTTAATCTTTCCCATTGCAGACTTTGAAGTTACTATGGCCCATACTAAGGGCTAAAATGTATCATTCAAAACATTTTTCTTTTATAATATAATAACAATAAATTTATAATATCACTATTTAGTAATACAATTATTGAATAGTGAAATATTTTTGACCCATAGAGCATTTATTGAAGAAGTGCTGGTGAGAACTTCAAAAGATATGGAAATGGAAAATAGTTTCTGGACGCTTTTTTCAGTGGTGGTCAACAAACATAAAATGGACAGAGATGAAGAAGAACTAGTGAGTGTCTTATTTTCCTTCAAATACATTATACTTTCTCTTACAAGCAAAATCTGTGTGAAATGTATTAGGAATTTAAAATTAGGTAGTTTTAATAAAACTTTTAATTACTATCACTATTCAAACACTTTTCGATATGAACTTTAGCTTTAATTCTTCTAATGAAATGAGAGCTCTAATTTAGAACATTTCCTCTTTGTAAAATTTTATCAGATTGAAATTTAAAAAATCAATAATAATCTTCTATTAAACGTGAAAAAAATATCTTTCAGTTCAGATTGTTAGATTTTGACCACAAAAACATGTATTGCACTTATTTCTTTCCATGATTAAACATTTAATATTTTCACTGTAAAATATTTTTGTATATTTATAAATACACCAATAACTGTTACTGATTTGATAAATGCCTGAAATTTTGTGTGCTAATAGTTTCTGATGTTAGTTTAAATAAAAAGAGAAAGTAAACAAAGTCTGCTGCCTCTGTAGAAGTTGGTAATGGTTACAAAAAACGATAATGAATATATTGTAATTCATCTCTATTTCAGCAATTTTGTTTAAATATTTCTTCATTAACCTTTTTGAAACACAGCACACCATGTCTTTTCAAACCCAGCTAATAAGTAAGATGTATATTAAAAAGGAAGCAGGACAGAAAGTACCTGGATGAAGCAGGGCTTAAGAGATAGCACATTTCATTTTGTGCCAGGAGTGGTCAACATAAAAAAACAAAAACATTTTAAATCCATTGAATCTGCATGTTTTGTGATTTTGGCTGGTCTCTTTTTCACTTGAAATAATTTTTACCATTACTCTACACAGTTTATTTCCACTCTTGGTCCCAGTTGTATTTTGAAAAAGATCCAAGCGTGGATATTTTTCAGGAAATAATATAAATTGTTGATCCAAACTGTCTGTGAACTGTAAGGTTAAATAATCTCCATTAGAATATTGATTTAATTATTGGCCTTTATCATGCTTACTGATACTGATTCTATGACATTAAAATTCGTTGCTCCTGTAAAAATACTTGGAATTTTTTAGCTTTAAACCAGTTAATCTTTTATTAATACATATTAATGAACAATGTATTTAGTATATTAAGTAACTTACTAACAAAAAGATGAGCTCATTCAACTTTGTGAATGCTGTGATATTTACAAAGTTGAATGAGCAAAGCATTTTCCATAAGTTTAGTTAGGTACTTACGATGTATGCAATGTTCTCTTTTTGTACACAGTTTTCTCCCAATCCACATCATCCAATGTGAATTTCTTTTTGTTTGTTTCTTAAATAGATCCTCAGCGTATAAATATATACAGAAACCAAAAATAATTCCACTTAAAGATTTTACTTATACGAAGCACGTGGTGATTCTGTTCACACAATGCAGTCTTTCAGAAATTAACAATTAGAAACTGATCTCCTGTATCATTAACAAAACAATACTATGGATTTGAATATATGTTGATAGATAGATAGATAGATAGATAGTTAGATAGAGGTACTAACTGTGGCATGTGTGATGTTCAGTTTTCCAGGAATGATGAAGCAAAAGGCCAGGTTGGTGAATGGAATTCACAATTTCTGCTTTAGGGTTAAAATAGTGAAAGAGTATTAATCAAATGTTTTTAAGTTACATAAGTAGAATGATCACAGAACTTAATTTTAATATGAACTCTAAAACAAGATGTAATGTTTTACTAAGATAAATTAAACATTATTAATTTGCTGAAAGTAAGTCCCTTAATTTTTTCAGATAATTAGTTATTTATGTACTAAAAATTGAATAATAACTATTAACTAGGGGTGCTAAAACATCATTTACTTTCTCGTCTGTACTTTCGCACAAACGTACATGAAAAGTATTCAAATTTTCAAAAAATAGTACATTACCTTATCTCGAAATCTTTCTGTACGGAACAGATTTTACTAAAGGATAAATCATATCTTTAATATTTTAATTATAGGAAGACGCCGAAAAAATGTTGAACTTTTGCAATTTTCGAAAAATCAGGGTTTTCAGCAAACATGAGACCTGGACAATTGTCTTAAACGTCCTTCACAACATCCAATACCTAAGTTTAATAAAAAACAATGGAGCCAAATTTGTGAAAATTTTGAAAATGTCCCAGGGGTTTCACGTAAAGTACCCCCCAAATTTGAAATATCTGTTTGAAATACAAGGGGCCGCGACATTGGTCAGATCGATTGGGGAATATCAATTTTGGAGAAAATCGGCTGAACGGTTCAGCAGCCAGCGTTGTTCATAGACGGACGGAGGGACGGCCAGACAAAGGTTTTCTGTCATTCGATTTTTCTCTATCAAGGACACCACAAAACATGGATTCTGATTACATCACGTGTTAAAAGATCTTTTTCCCCATAAAATTAACATCTGGATTTATCCACTTTTTCGTTACTAGGGCTCTGCAATAAGAATTTTTCTGCCATTTTTTCACGCAGCATTACATAACTTTCTCTCTATTGCGTAAGCGTAGCGGCGCAGAGAAAGCGAACATTATGTACGAATTACTCATATTAATTACATAAACAGAATGTTCAAAGAACTTAGATTTAATTTTTGTCAAGAAAACTATTCATTTCTTTTATTAAAACAAAACAGAGAAGCCATTAATATGGTGCAGAATGTAAGTTTGCATGTCATACAAATTTCATTTATTAATTTATTCTCAATTGATCCCTTTGAAAATCAAATCCCCTGCTCCCGGTCGTGGGTAAGGTCGAGAACCAATTCCCTATGAGGAAAGGTGTAAGTGCTGTGCTACTTTTCGTGAGCACTGCAGGGAACATAGATATCCTAACATCGTTCTCCATTTTCTCGCTGCAGCAAGTCGATTCCTTCACGTAGAACACTAGGTATAATACCCAAAATCCGTAACTGATTTTCATTTGCAAATAGTTTTTATTACATCGGAGCGAATACTCTCGTCGCTGTCTGTATCGTAATTCATCTTAACATGAATGAGCTAGGACAAATCCCAGAGCTCGAGAAACGGTGCACATATTGCAATTTTGCGTATAGTAATACGTCACAAATTTTCCCACATGACACACATATAAAAAACCATTGTCTTTTTTCCTTACATAATTGCAATATAGTATAGTACATACAAAAATACCAGTCCCGAACGTATGATATTTGAAACTAACAGGCAAAAAAATCATGCGTGGGTGTTTGACAGGTCAGGTTGACAGTCACTGATTTCGTGTACCCGCGAAACATCTAAGCGCGATGGTTTCCCTACCAACCAGGAAAAAGTCACATGTGAAACGTTATACGAAATTTCCCACCACACGTTCATTGGCAAAACATGAGTACCTACATGCGTCTCGAAGGTTATTATATTTATTCCGAGGCACGTGAACACCGTAGAAAAGTAATTGCTTTGGAAATGAAAACGAAGCGAAGGGTGTGAACGTTTGTGTTGCAGGTGGAGCGGTGGCCCGTGGTGCGGAAGCAGCTGCGCGAGCTGCGCGCCGAGCTGCGCCAGGCGACGGAGATGCTAGGCCCGCAGGCGCTCTCCCGCGCACTCGTGTCCCTGCGCCAACAGGTAGGACTCCTTTGGGAAAAGACCCTTACACGCCCGGGACATGTGACTGCAGAGTAAGCACCACCATACGGTAAATATTTGATAGATTGATTAGTATCGATTCCGGGTAAATTGATAAGGTCACCAGTCCCGTAAGTGTAGTGCGTGTTCATCGCGAGAGGTGGCGGTGATGTTCCACTACTGGATGGCGAGAGCCGACACCGATTTGCCCGTCTGCTTGCGGGGTTTCCTCAACCAGGTATCTCCCTCCAGCGGAGCACCACCCCAACCGGGATAAGCTCTAAGTTCCCGACAAGTGTGGTAGTATAATGCGTGTGAGTGTAAGAGTGTGTAAGCAAAGGGTGAGGATACGATCGTAGGAAAACGAAGAGGAGGGAAAGATCGCGCGCCGTCCGTGGCCCATTTGTTAGGATATTCTGGTATTCGCCTAGTGTTGATCGGAGAAATCACAGAAAACTACTGATCAGAGCAGGCGGCCGCTAGAATTCTCCTCTAGACTGCCCGTGAATTCGACATAACTGTGTAGCTAGTATCGAAATCTTGCCACCGTCGTGATTCGAACCCCAGTACCATTTTGTCAGAGGCACTGCTATAACATTGGTTGATGCCTACAGGCACCAATTTTTCAAAACCATTAAAAGTCCCCATTATTTGGCCATACCTAAGGCCTCTTAATATACTGCGTGCCTGCTTTGCTCGTTTGGATAATAACGAGCTTTTTCAATCACATTCCTGCGAGAAAAACAATCATCATGATCTGTTCAGACACGTGAGCAGTTTTTGACGTTCATTGGCGCGAAACTGAGCCAAAAGATTGAGAGGTATGTTCTGTTTGTGTCTAATAAAAAGGATTTACATTCATTTCACAAACGTTGGCTAACCGGTGTTGCAGCGGTTGTGTCTCGTAATATTTTTGTTAATATCCTAACTTGGTCCACACGCATTAATATTGTCAGCTGCTGTTCGATAAACTTTTATAATATTCTACGAGAATTTAATGACGAAATGAAACAATGTACTAAATCCCAAGTAAAAACTATCCACAATCTCTAACTGCACTATCTGAACTGACGTTTTGAAGCATTAGCAGCGGGCCTTTCGCTCATCTGGCTGGCTAAAGAATATATTTCGCAGAGCGATGCAGTTTTCGGCCATGCTCAATTGGTTTCGAAACTGTCAAAACATCGTCTGCTTGCCTGAACAAACCGTGACAAAATCTGTCGGCTCCTGATCGGAATTGGAATCGGATTTTGATTTGCCTTTCCTAACTAACTGTTCACTAAATAGTGCATCGTTAAACCAGTATAGAAAAAATGGCCCTGTTAAACTCGTGTTGCGGTAAACCCGAACGGTTGAAAACGAGCACCATTGGGGTATAGTTAAACGAAAGACGCGCAAATTCGTACGAATAAAACTGTCACACATCCCAAACGTAAATCGGTCTTTGTAGACCGGCATCCATTAGAATGGAATGTAGAACGGCGCCTTTGGAAGGAGTTCGGGGTAACGCCTGTTTTCTCTCAGCCATCCATTCGCAGAAAACATCCTGCGAAATTGAGTCCACCTAGCACTGTTGTTTGCTCTTACACTACCACACACGCCGGGAGACCAATCAGAAGCTTAGAACCTGTCCCAGTTTGGACGTGCTCCGCTGGTGGGAGATATCCGGCTGGGGAAAGTTCCCGCAAGCCTACGTAGTCGGCGGCGGATCTCTCCATCCCGCGCGGGAAGGTCACCGCCACCCCCCGCGATGAGAACAAGCACCACACGGAACTAATGACCCTAGGAGTTGGCCTGCCGGGAATTCCTAGACAGTCAATCAATCCAACTGCGCTTTTAACACTTCCTGCCCCGCATTATCGTTCGGTTGTCGCGTTGGCGCGGCGGGCCTTGTCCAGGACGAATGGGGAGACACGCTGATGCTGCTGGCGGCCGAGGACCGCTATGTGGACAACTGGGAGGCGGCGCGGCGCGCGCAGCAGGCGACGCGCAACAACATCCAGGAGCGCGGCCTGAAGCAGTCCATCGACCTGGCCACCCTGCGCGTCACCATCGAGACGCGGGCGGCGCACCAGGCACGCTTGCCGCTTAGCTGTCTTCGTAGGCGCTTCATTCGAACGAGAATGTAAAGAAAAAAAAAAGAAACTATTTTTATACAATTTTGAAAAAGAAGTCGGAGGTTGATATAAAATACCTATGCTGCCCTGTCCTTTGGCTTGACTGCCCGATACGGGCCTTGGCCGACGAGCGATGGCCGAGCTCGCGGTCGTGGGATAAGAAGGGGTTCTTATGATTAGCACTAAGGCATCCCTCCATCGTATACACTGGTCTTCATAACCTTAGGGTGGGCTTTCTCATTGTCACACAGCACAACTGGGATATTTGTAAGGAGAGCTATGGAATATTTGTAAGGACAGTTATAATTTTTGACTCGATAAAATACCTACACCTTAAAATTAATAGATACGTTTCAAAATCACAGGGATTCAAGTTGTGAAGGTCAATTGACCTTTATCCATTTTCAAAAGAACAATACTGCGTGGTATTTAGCCGTTAGCTTGCTTACAGGCGCCGAATTTTAGAATTATAAGAAAAAGGACACAATAACTTTCTAATTAACACCAAATGACGCTTACGGCAGCCATTGTTTTAACTACCAATTCTTTGGTTTGCGTAAGGCCAGATTTTATTTTTGAAACAAAAATATAATGTGTTGCTCAAATAAAAAAGAAATTTCCCTCCTCGTAATCGATGAAATCGAAGTGAGTGATATTTATATCGATTGATTTACATTGAAATTTTGAAGTATCCATATTATTCGTAATTGTGAAAGATGCGCCTTTTCATAATTTACCAACTACTGAAGTTAAGAATGAAAGAAAAGGCTGTGAATTTTGTTTCTGTTATAACCAAAACAAGTTAATTTCAAAAAACAGCTTTTTATTCGCAATTGCTGAACATACAGAAAAAGCCGTTAACATGCGTAGTGACAAAATAACTGGGAGATTTGGAATATAACTAGGACTTGCCAGATTCAACAAAAGCCGAAGAGATGTCCAGCAATAATGCCATGGTCAGGATACGAATACTAGAAGAGAAGTCTGTTATACTGGCCGGCAGCGTGGTCACTTACTTGCACACTCGTAGCTCGCACTATAATAGGACGATTGGAACTTCGCTCACTGCTCGCTGCGCGCCGTTTTATACACGTTTAGGGTTAAAGTCTTGCCGACTGGCCTAGACGTACAGGCGATGGTGCGCTCGGTCGCGCCGACCGAAGCGTGACGGCTCCGCTGAACCCGACCTCAGCAACCTCCCGTGAGATGTTCCCGTATTTTCCTGGGGCGCTGATGCCTCACTGCTGCGTCCAAGAGCCGGTTCTTTCATAGGGCGCGGGTGACTACTACAATTTCACTCAGGGACTTAGGGTGCAAAGAAATAACTGATTGAAACTTAAACCAATCCTAGCTGTCTATCAGCAAACATTTGTCAAACTTCCGAGAAATTTTTTTCGTTAGTCAAATTTATTTCCTCTGAAAATGTGAAAATTGTTGTGAGAAAGAAACAACATTATAGATATAAAAGCTATATGGAACGTTTCGGCGAAACTTTAAAAGAAAAAAAAAATAAAACAAAGCAGGTCAACACATACAAAATAGTGAAAAAACAGGAAATGCGCCTGGAGGAGGTGTCAGCTGACATGCTATGAAAGAAATTATGAACTGCCATAACTAACATCAAGTGAAGAGGCGTCTGAAAGTTTGAAAATCGCGAAAAGTTCACATTTATTTTCGAACCTGTCCTACACCTCCAGTATTAACACCAAAGTTTTGTGTCTCAATGCAATATATCCTTCATTTTTAGATCTTTAAATGATGTTATGCACTTTTTAAAAACTATTAGTTGTTGAGATATAACACTAAGAGGAGAAGTTTCGTTATGCTGCGCATTCCTATTCGTTTGAGGTATTATTTTTGAAGTATGTGATGCACATAAACGAGGCAAGTTAAATCATCAGTTATATGACTGGTCTATTTCGGCCGCAGGCAAAATTCATGATGATGGAGGAGGAGGGTCGATTGGAACACGAGCTCTATATGTGGGAACGTCGACGACATATGGACTTGGAACAGATGGGAGACACCCTCATCAAGGCGAGGAACACACTCGAGGCGGCGCGCCTACACACAGAGACCATGAGGGAAGAGGTGAGTTAAGGTCCAAAAATAATTGAAAACAATGCAGTGCTACATTTTGGTTCTTATTCTCGACAGCATTCAAATTTTCAATAACTGCGTTTAAAATTCTCGTTTATTATTATGATTACTGTTTCAATTTTTTGTTCGATTACAGGTTAATGTATTTATGGCTAAGATCGAATGGTTTGTAAATTTTCTAATTTAAAACATCTTCTGATAACTTTTCCATTATATAATACGTTAACTAGTAGACCTTGCATGCTCAGAACTTTTGTCTCAGAATAACGCAGCAAACATAGACTCGTATACCGAAATGTTTGATTTATGAGCGAATTGTGAATGAAGACAATTGAACAAGCAATGCCGAAACTTAGCGAAGACTTTCCATTTGTAACTATTTTATAAAACGATACTACTTGTTTTTATTCTGCCCACACAACCCGCCCTTGTAAAACAGTGCATCTACGAGAAAAATAGATCAGGAATAATGATTAAGGATTGAAGAAGGATAAACCGCAATCAATAAACTTAACCATAAAGTATATACTTTGTTGTTGATACATCCTAGATCTTGAAACATTATGGATTACCAAAATATCTCTGCTACCACCATGGAATTGATCAGGAATATTTACATTCCAAATACAGAGTCGGTTCGATAAGTTTCCGATCTGGACAAGATGGGAAAACCCTCTGAGCAATATATAGTCTTATCTTTAATTGTTCTAATGATATAAGTTTGCAGACGACATCTTACTCAGTTGTGTTGACAGAGGTACTTGAGATGGGTAAGATGCGTAAAATCCCATGATGTTTAGCTTCTTCCCGACAATGCATCTGCGCTTACTGCCCAGATGTCTAAGAAATCTGTGAAGAAATGTGGCTTCAAGGAGTTGGATCATTCACACTACAATCCAGTATTCGACAACAACCACTTTCCAATACTTAAGAAACACTTTCTGACTTTCCAGATAACGTTGAGGTGAAAGAAGCAATATTTTACCATTTTACGGTCAAGACGTAGGAGAATTTTTTCAAAAGCACAGAAATGTTATTAAACAGATGGATTAGAGCAAAGGATGATGAAGTTGAATAGTTACACATTTTCTACTTTGCGAGTTTGTGCGGGTGGGCGGGGGCAGGTGGCGAAGCGCGAGTCGGAGCTGGTGGTGTGGCGCGCCAAGAACGCGGAGCTGGAGCGGTGGGAGGCGGCGGCGCGGCGCGTGCAGCGCGCGTGGCGCTGTCACGCGTACCGGCGCACGGTGACGCTGGCCATCGCGTCCATGCGGCGCGGCCGCCTGCAGATCCTCGCCGACCTGGAGATGGCCGCCAACATGGGCCGCGCGTCCGTGCGCACGCGCATCAAGCTGCAGAAGGACCGCGAGAAGCGCGAGAAGGAGGTGTATGAGCGCGCCTTCCTCGCCATTCAGGTGACGAGTGTTGCCCATTCGGCCATGGGAGTTTTTTTTCTTTTTTTCACTCTCGCTAATGCCACACAGAATTAGAGGATGCGGTAGGCGAGAAACATGCAGGCATGATTCCCATCCTCCCTCTCCGTTTGTCGTCATTTAGTGAACGTTAGCATATTATAATAATTTATGTGGCTAGAATGCAAGAAAAGTACATTTCAAAACTTGCTGTTTAAGAAATATTCCTAACATGCATTATTATCTTTAGTCTATTGTGAGTTAATAGTGTTGTGAGTTGTGAGTTAATAATAATAGTGTACATGCAAACAACGTTAGAAATTCAGTATTTATTGTCTCTTCGTGTACATCCGTTCGATGTCTCAATTCACACGCATACATTTTCTCAACTGTTTGTGAATACGAATATATCAATTTTTACAACACTGTCTTTAATAACGATTTTGAAACCACGTAAATCATGGAAACTGTCCCTAACCTTAACTACATACACTGAACTGGCACTTCGAGAAATTAACGGCGTACCTTCAGCCCACATAGCTGGCGGAAGAATGCATTTTGCAAAGTACTCTTCGGCGATGGTCAACTGTATTAGAACCTGTCAAAAAATCGTTTACTGACATGATTTGACATAAGTCGTGCCATTTTTTGCTCTTGACACTTGGGATTTAGACTACCTCAGTGATAAGTGCTTTTTTATTACGACGCTATTACCTAGCTATACTGCCAAAATCAAGCTCCGGACCTGGAGATAGATTTCTAGCTACGCTTCGAGTCGCCCCGAAAATGTTAGAGCATTAGCTTCTAGACCTGAGCCCTTGGATTGAAGGGTTTCAGAAAGCGGTAAATCTTCTGCTATGTTACGCTGGTGTAGTGGAACGTTTGCAGGTGTCGTACTACCGACGGACTATCACTTTGGACATTTCTAGTCGAGATTCATGTGGAAGTTAAATTCCAGTCGCGAAAAGGGTGATGGGCGCCAGATGTTCGACACATAAGTATCCCCAAGATCTGGCTTTCAAAGGATGGCTGGGTCGAACAATGGTTGCAGAAAGGACCAAATTGACGCTTCTGAGTAAATGCATCTTTGGAGTCAGTTCAGCACTTTCCCCGAAGATGTAATTTACTCCGAACATCGTACAACTTTAATCTACTCCCACAAGGAGTGATCAGATAAAGGGGGGTTCAATCGAAGGCTTCCGCGACCAGTGTCATGTAAAGGGTCTCGTCTGTCTGGGGGAAGCCGCGTCAAGGGCATCAATGCCGTCGTCACACCATCACTCGAACAGCCGAAAGCCTTCAGAAGGGGACTTCGCTTTCCAGCGAAGGAGTGGCTAGCGCGGCGACACTTATTCCTAATGTACAGATGTCACGCATAAAGAATTTTGGAAATCAATTTTGAGAGAAGGTTAATACGATTGACGAATTTTCGTTTGGTCTGTGAGGGACACACGACTTAATTCACATCAGCGTCAATGGACAGCGGCTTAATTCAATGGTAATAGGTTTCGAAAATATGGTAAATAAGTGAAATACGCTGTGAAGTAGTGCGACTAATTTAAGAATAATGAATTTGCGTTTAAACTTATAGTAAAAATAATTTATGTGAATTTGTACTAAAGTGCAGATATCAGAATACAACAAGTTCCATATCCGCTCTCCTTTAAAATTCTCTTTCAGTCAGTGCGCATATGCGTCATGTTTTCATGAGCTATCCATCCTTTTACAGCATTTAATGCACCTGTTGCCGCTGTTGGAGAAATTAGCAAGTTTACAATCTGTATCTTGGTCTCAAGCGTCCCACTTGACCGAATTTCCGAAATTTTGGTGTTGGGGTTAATACAAATTGAAAATGGCATTGGGTCTAGAGTTGCGAGGGGCGCATAAAAGTAAAATTGTTCCCGATTTTTAGGCAATTATGAGTTTAAAAACTGTATAAAAATATAAAAAAATATAATTCAATAGAAAATATATAGAAATCGAAATGGTATTAGAATGACTTAAAAATTGTAAAGAAATATCTGGGACAATATCTCACTGATCGCGGAAGAAGTGAGCCGTAACGTGGCAAAAAACAAACAACAACAACAACAACAAAACAACAACAAAATCCGCTTTTACGTTTCTTTAACTAATGTCTTCTCCAAAGCAAGCGGGTTATGGAACTCTACAGGATTTAGAAGGTTTAGAAAATAGTGTCAGGTATGTTCTTTGGGAGTTGTACATCGCATTGGGGTTCCGGCGGTGTTTGCAGGCGCTCCTGGGCGTGCCGGAAGCGCGGCAGGTGCTGGTGAAGGAGGCGATGGGCAAGGATAAGGGCAAGAAGGGCAAGGGCGGCAAGGGCCGCAAGTAGAGCCGCTTGTGACACTAGATGCGCTGTTTTCGTTAGGTACGTCTTTAGATTATTCCAGTATTTTAGTCGATAAAATTACCATCGTCATCGAAATTTAGTCACTTCAATTTAGTCATTAATGCAGTCAAACTACTTTCGACATTACATTATTGATATCTTATGGGCAAAACAAATTTTTAATATATCATTGTAATCGCTCTGCTCGTACTATCTTTTTTATGATCTGTATGCATGTAGAATTTATTACAATTTTAAATGTATTACTTTTATTGTATGATTAGATCCAAATTAGCAAGTAACATTCAATAAAATTGGAGGGGTGATAATAACTAAAAATTAAATAAGTTGGTCGACGTGATAGGCGCCATCAACGACGCCCGCCGTTTCAGCTGGTCGGCGCTCCGGGAGGCAAGTCAAGCGCGTTCGCGTTCTGTTGATGATTTGTGGCTTTGGCAAGAGCTGGCCTAAGCAATCGAGCCCTTTTCGGCTTTTCCTGGCGCTTCTGTACTTGGGCGAAATTGTATAAAATTAGCAATTTAAAATGTTTTCCAAATTTCATCCGAAAATGTTTTCCCTTATCTACGTCTATAAATTATTTGACGATTTACTCAACGATGTACGAATTACTTGGCTAACCATATCCGCTGCAGACTTACAACCTAGACACGTAGTAGTGAATTTCAAGGCCCCAATTTGACACCCTCCTCCACTCCAAATAACCTGTTAATGCATACGATTAGCCGACGATAGCTTAGTTGCAGAATATATCTGCTTCCCGGCGCCCCAACCTTGAACCACAAGATATCACGACGGACAAAAGAAAAAGAAGTTTTATTTCTAGCTGGCGGGACTCCGTATAGAAAAACAGACGTTTTCATGTCGAAAGATGTCATTCATTATTAATTTTTCTGTTTATCCGTTTCGAACGAGGCAAAAAACAATACTCGCGGGTTGAGTGATCTGTCATTGGATCCATCACCGTAAGTCGAATGGGAATCATTTCGTTGAAGAGATATCTTTTATCGACTCTGGCATCCTTTTAAGCTCAAATATTCATTTCACGCTTCCGTACCAGGAACGTAATCCTTTATTTGCCGTAGTATGCATTAGTTGCCGGGTGTGTCAATGAATGTGATCTGAGTGTGCAACTAAAACTTAGTAGATGGGATCCAATTTTCCAGCTGACCTCTGCCTGTATGTAATTCTAGAATCTACTGTTACCGGGACAGAACAGAACTTTAAATGACGGTCCCTGACACGTTGAATCATTCCTTCCCGCCCTAACCAATTCATCCTGAGGATCGGCCGATGACCTGATTCCCAGTTGCAATTTGGAACATCTATGATCCAAAACGACTCGGCGATATAGAAAGGGTGGGAATCTGAGGTTATGGCTCGAATTAGACTATAACACTTTATGAATATGTATATGTTGAAAGCGCGAAATTTCAATATTGTCTTCAGGAAATTCTTTCTGTAGATAACTGATTCGTGACGTTTAAATGGTGGACTATATTTGAAACGAAATTTCAAGATTATTCTTTTCACTCGACACTAAGTGCTAGGATAATGACTTTGTTTTTAGGCGTTAACACAGATAAGAAAATTTGAATAATAATAACAATAATAATTATTATTTTTAATTATAATAATTATTATTAAAGGAAGTTCACTCCTTCATAATTCTTTTCTTTTTTCGAAGCTTGGGCGCTACTTTATCGGATGCCTGAGTCTACAAACAACAGCGACAACGGCGACAGTTGGACAATGACACTGACAAAGACTTCATGGGGGAGGCAGCGAAGGCGATGGTAATGGTGGCAATGTTCCCTGCTGTAAACGGGTTCTGGCACCAGTCTGTGAAGCTAACAATTTCACATTTCCACTCACGTGGGAGTACTTGGCGCCTCGTATGTAGCACTAAGTAGAAAATAAATAACATTAGTCGTTTATTGTAATAACCGTCTCTTTGTATTCCAATCCCTCAATACATCGAACGCAATCGCCAAGATATAGTATCTTCGGCACACTGGACAACTATCGATGGAGATAGTGGAGATAAGTGAAGAAGTGAACTGATGATGTGACTGTCGATAATGGTATGTTAAATGAGTATGATTTCTGAATCTCTACCGTATAGATGGAATTTACCAGCTCAAATTACATAAAGAAACAGCGTTTTCTAAAACAGGCGAATTCAAGGCTTTATTTTCTGCACCCAGAATTGGTAGACGAGTGTCCAGGATAGTGAGTCATAAAGCGAATCACTTAATAGAACCCTTCTCTTTACAGTTAATGTGGAAAATATTTACACGCATAAATAAATAATTATTTATAGTTATTTAAGACTCAGTCAAAATGACCAACAGCGCCAAAATCTCAGAATCAGTTTCTTCCAATAGACGATATGTCACGGCTTCAGTTGGCTTTACCCGGTATAAAGGTCAAGAATTGTAACTTTCATGTATCTGTTCCAAAACAAGTGTAATAATAACTATTATTAACATTTATTCCCCAAAAATCTGTTTTGCGGTAAAGACATATTTATCCAAACATTTATGAGTACTGGTATAATCTAAACACAAAAGTCCACTGAACTATTTTAATGGACTATCAAGCATTTTAACGGCCGTTGCTATATGGACGCACTCTTAATTCGTTGTTGAGATGGTTGGTTACTAAGGACCCAAGCGCGTGTTTAGCAATATAAATTTCCAAAAAAAACAATCTCGTTCTTGTAAAGTTTATTTGTAAATAAATATAAATAATATTTCTGCAATAATTTCAATCAAATCCTTGTTAAGAATCTTTAAAAAGAAACATTTTTCTTCAGTCGTGTCTCCTTGTACCCAGGGATAGATAAGCAAACTAACACGTCCAAAGGACCTCTAATGCGTTTTTCAACAAAAACGAATATTAGTTCATAATTACGTAAAAACAACTGTTAGCTCTTTTTATTAATGATACAAAAATAATTATTTTAATTCAATTTTAAAAGTAAAAAATATTACTGTTCAAAAATGCAGACAAAAGAATTGTAAATTACATACGAGTAGATATATTTTTATCATATTTGTTATTGGAATATTAAATTTGTAAATTGGAAGGTTCCAGTTTTATTTCCACATTTATTGTGGTTACATTGTTCAACATTTAAATATTAATGGGGTGAGACAGAATTTGTTCATGCTTAATGTGGTTGCATTAGTCTGGCCCCGCTCGTTCCTCTTACGGCTTTATTTCCAAACCCTATCCCGATGTATTGCGTCGTGCAACTTCAAGACCGGGATGGGATCGAGCAATCGCGCGGCTGCCCATCGCGACGTCCGGGCGATACGACTACACCCGCGATACTCGTGCTCTTCCTTCCGCACCAACGTTGCCAACGGAGCGAATCGCGACTCCAGCTCGGATGCAGCGCCGAAGGATATGACAGTCGAGATGCGTTTCAAACCCAGGACTCGCGAGGATTCATATTGAACTAAAAAAAGAGCGATTTTGAGTTGAACCTACCATTGAACAGAGCAAATTTCAATTCACAATACATTAGTGAAATTAGTTGAAAAAGTCAGTTACGTACGAAACGTACAAAATAGTAAAAGATTAATGAGACGATAATTATATGATCGATCTACTATTTAAGCTGTTTAAGCTTTGTCATTTTTCTGTGATGGGCAGTATCGTTCTTTTGGTCATTCTCTACGTGTAGAGAACAGAAGTATTGAAATATGGTCCTGTGTATAGATAAAGAATGGAAAACGTTAGCACGCAATATAAACATTCGGCGCATTGCACTTGGTGTCTCAGTAAAATAAAGTACATTGGAAAATGTAACACGCCACAAAATGCTTTTTAAGTTACTTTCATGTCTCCTCCTTCTTGTGTCCACGACGTAATTGAGTGCAGTATGTTTTGAAGAACATACAATGTCAAATTAATTTATACTCTGAAATTTTATTGCTTCATAATACATCATGCTTTTCACTAATGTCGATTTTATAAGCTACGATATCTGCAATATGTGTATGTACTGTGGCACAACAGCTCTTTACGAGCCGCACCAGCAGCGTCCCGGTCTCCGCCATGGGTTAAAGGGGGGGACGTGTTGTTAACACATAGCCATCCCTGTGCTGTATTTCTGGTGTTCTCAACCTGAGAAGTAAGCTTTCTCATTGTAACGCAGCAACAGGCACTCGGATGTTGCAAGGAAAGAGCACAATTTATTGTTTCCAATTTATTCTTGCCTCCGACCAGGAATCGAACCCGGAGTTGCGCCGTGGAAAGTGAGCACGCTATCCAAAGAGCCACCGAGAGCGTGAGATAACTGCAACATTAGTATGAAATCTGCATGGTTCGCCGCGGTAAATAACGGGGAAACTACACTCCTTTGGCTTACTAATCATAAGTATTGTCGAGGGGTTCGCTGACATTACGAAGACATACTTGAATTATATTACGAGAACTTCATATTTAACAATTATGCGGGTCTTAATTAAGAAATTAAAATTAATTTCACTAAAATCTTACGGAGGTTGACCAAAAAAGCTGCCTCAAACCCGACTTACGCAGCATTAAAAACACTGAAGAATAGGAATATTTTGTTAAATGCCTGAGGACAAGTCGGAGAGAATGGTCAGTGCTAAGCAAATCATGGTTGATCCGTACCGAAGTTCACGTGCACATGCAGCCAAGGTCAACGTTAGGTCACGTTCATGATATATTCTATCGTTTGTCATTCCTATATTTTGTCACAAGTTTCATTAGTTTGACGGATCATAAAAGATGAAAATCAATTTTTTATTCTCAAAATGGATTATCGCGTTGGTAAGATACCATCCCTAACACGACAAACGAGCCGATTCCTGGCGCTAATTAGAGGGAGTTCGTTACTTTAAACATCAGTCCTTGTGGGATATTTTTGGAAAACAAAATGGATTTTTGACAAAAATGTGGTCGAAAATATCGGTAACCCTATGTTGATCTATTTATTTCAGAATATTAAGTTTTCGCGAGAAACAAGCATCAGAGTACTTCTTATTCCGCCTCTAAGCAAAATTACAATAAATACATAAAAAACAAAAACAAAATAACAACAGAAATCAGAAAGCAAAAACTAGGTGCTACAAAAGCACGTACTTTCTCGCTTTAATTCTAAATTTCCAATTTCGAAAATTCAGAGGCTTCAACGAAAATGAGACCGCGTCGTTCTTATAAAATCCCTTCTTCTACCCATTGAAAAAATTCAAAGAAAAAATTTGTTTAGGTTTGTGAGAAAAAAATAAAATTAACCTTATTTTGCGCAAAATTACACGAAAACGAACTTTAACATTACACGAAAACGTATTTTAGAAAAATTGAACATGAACTTATATCAAAATCTGCCTTTAAGGGACACATTTCGTTCAGGAAAAAAATCTCTATCGCCAATATTGTAGCAAGACAAAAAAAAGCGCTTTTGCAATTTTCGAAAAATCTAGGATTTTAACGAACATGAGAACAGCACCATTCTCATAAGCATCCTTTATGCTATTCGAGGACAAAGTTTAATAAAACAATTTGGTGCCATTTTTTGAGAAAATAATGAAAATGCTTTTACGGCTTCGCGTAAAGTACCCTCAAAAATCAAAATATACGTTTGGAACTCCCAAAGTCTCGAGTTCGTTCATGTCGACAAGGGAATTTCAATTTTGGAGTAAACGACTAAACGATTTCGGCTCTAGCGTTGACCACAGACGGACACACAGTCGTCAATCGATTTTGCGGTGCCAAGAACCCACGAAACATAGATTCACGCCACACCACGGGTTAGAGGAAGTAATTTACTATATACAGGAACAGGATCTATCCACTCATTCGTTACCAGGCCCCGGTAATAAGTTTTTTTGTTGTTACCAACGTTCATTTTAACTATCCCGGACGGCACAATTACATTTCTTACGAAGTAAGTCCGAGGTAAGCCGTCGTTGGCGCAATCCCCGAGCTCTCTGCTTGGCTAGAAGGGGGCGGGGGGGGTGCGGTGGGATTTGTCTATCCGGCACGCCGCAATCGGGCGCCGCTCGCGCGCCGCACGAAGACGTTTCCTCGAGCGATGCTGGCGAGGCATGGGCGGCGCGGCGGCGATAGGTGGCGTGAGGCTTGCTGGTGCGGTAAGCGGTTGCGGCGGGCGCGGAGGGCGGCGCGCGGGTGAAGCGCATCGTGGGCGGCGAGGAGGCGCCGTCCCCGCCGCCCGACGACCCCACAGCCTTCGACGAGGCGGCGGGCGCCTGGGTATTCGGCGTGCGCCGCAAGGACCACTACGCCTTCCTGGGCATCCGCTACGCCGAGCCGCCCGTCGGACGCCTCCGATTCCAGGTGACTTCCCGGGTTCGATGGGATAACGCGCAGCCTACAGGGCTATTGGACCCAAGTTTGCTGGTTTAAATCCGATCGACGCCGTGGGTTTTTAAGAGCGAAAAAATACTTCGTACGCCTCCCTCCGGTGGAGAAATAAAGCCAGCTGTCGCGTGTTGTAGATTTACTGCATGTAAGCCTAAAAGACGCATCTGAACTAAGTTCAAATCGCTTGTTTCGTTGTGCGAGTAAGACCTATCTTCCTTAGTTTGTGAAAGCAGCGTAGTTTAATTTGCGAGGCCAGACGGGAGAGCGGGTCTAATAGCCCGAGTCTCGCCATGTATAACTAATATCTGACGCTGCACTAGAGGTCCTAGGGTTCGGGTCTCAATTGAGGATTTTCAACTGTAACTACGTAGTTATAACTCGAATTCAATCATTCTCTGGAGGAAAATGCTAGAGACCGGCTGCTCTGATCGATTAGTTTTTGGTAATTTGTCCGATCAAAAACCAGACGAATGTGTAACAAGCGGTCCACGGAACGCGCGAACTTCCCTTTCTTACGGTTGTCTTCTCCATACTGTAATATTGAGAGGCTATCATGTGGTCTTCCCTGTAATAGAAGCATGCTTCTTGAAAATGTTGTGGACGTTTCTTCCTTTCTGCCGATAAATGTTTTGTAATGTAAATGTGATTCATACCTGCCTATTTCAGCGAAAAAAAAGGCCGATGCACATCACTGTAGACAGAAATCATTGAAGACTCCTCGAGTCGACCAAAGAAACACTGCTGTGGAATCTTACACTTGAATATCAATCTACCAAACGCAGTGTAATATCAATGAGGTGTTCACTTCAAAAACAAGTACTGGTGTCCATGGCTAGTTCATTATTTTACAGTAATACTTTATTTTACTTATGCATATTTTAAGGAGTCTAAAAAATACTTCTACCCCCTCTTTCGGTCAAGCATCAGCAACTTGTGTCCTCGAGAAACAGGAGACTGCTAATTGTATCAGAGTAAACCGGATTGTTGCCTACATCCACAGAGCAGAAACCCTTCCATTCCCGCCCATATTCCACGAAGCCCTTTTGCCCCTCCGTCCCTGAGAGCGGCGTCGTGCGCAGAGGCCGCGCCGCGTGGCCCTGGAAGGCGAAGTGGACGCGACGCGCGCGCCGCCGCCCTGCCCGCAGCCCGGCCCCGGCGGCCGCGTCGTCGGCAGCGAGGACTGCCTCTTCCTCAACGTCTTCACGCCGCAGGTGAGCACCCAGCGTCGTGCAAAGTAACGACGCAGATTCGAAACTAAAGAAACGTCTGACTGAAAGAAATTTCAATATACGTTTTATTACATTGAACCGTGTGTAACCTAAAAGAAATGCTTTTGCGAAGCTCATCCTCTGAAGGAATGAAAAAGGCGTTGTCTGACGTAAGGCGGTTCGCAATGCGTGCAGTCATTGCGGAATGGTGAGGGGCCGTGGCGTGGGCGAGACCGGGAGACGGAAAGCGGGGCGGAGAAGCCTCAGGTGTTGGCGGGATGTTAGGAGAGGGACGAGCGGGGCGCGATGAAACGAGACAGGTGACAGTAATGAAAATAAAATTTCTTCCGTTTGCACCGTTGATAGAATTTGTTAGTTTTCTTGCCCAATGAAAATTGTGATAAAATACTCGGGCAACAGTGAGTTAATTAATTTAAAATTGTATGTAACAGCTCTTTGACGATATTCCCCTTAATGGAGCATACGAGGTCATACCTTCGAAATGTCTTTTGATATAATCGCTTTGAAATGTATTTTTAGTGGGGAAATGGATTATTATTCGCGAAAATAACTAGAAAATATATAAAGAATTGAGTTGGGTGAATCCTAATTGTTTTTAGTGCATTTCGGGAAAATTATTCTTTGAAATATTATAAAACGGCCAAATGGTAAAGTCAACTAACAGAACGAAAGAATATATCCCGGCATGTTTCAAAACTAAACATATTTTCTCTTGTTTTGAGTTCGAGCCTGGCGTACAACAGCATTTGACGGTTGCGGGTGCAGAAAAGGTTAAGGGAATGGACTGCTTGATTCAGGATGCACAGGTTGGACTGCGGTGTTTACGGAGAAACGAAGGCAGAGGTTGCGATGAAGGAAATCTCAAGGAGGGGACGGTGGCGTTGGTGGTAGGGTTGGTCGTAGGTCCAGTGCAGGATCTCGTTATTCTCCTCAAAGAGGGGTGTGATATGACCTAACAAGATTTTAATTGCCTTTTTTAAATCTTACCTTTAGTGTTCTAACAGTACGACTGTGTGCAGTCAACCAACGTCAATGCAATGTCAAATCCTGAAGTGTGTTGATTTTTTCCTTATCCCACCCCCTCACTGTGCCTTCCGGGCCGGCCTTGACTCGGTGGCGCGGCGCAGCTGCCCGGCGGGCGCGTGGAGTCGTTTCCGGTGCTGGTGTGGATCCACGGCGGGGGCTTTCGGCGCGGCTCGGCCAACCAGTACGGCGCGAACCCGCTGGTGCGCCGGCGCGTGGTGGTGGTGGTGCCGCAGTACCGCCTGGGCTCGCTGGGCTTCCTGAGCGCCGGCACGGCCGAGCTGCCGGGCAACGCGGGCCTCTTCGACATGGCGGCGGCGCTGGCGTGGGTGCAGCAGCACGTGGCGGCCTTCGGCGGCGACCCGCGGCGCGTCACCGTCTTCGGCCAGGGCTCCGGTGCCGCCGCCGCCGTGCTGCTCTCGCTCTCCAGCATCTCCCGCGGTGCGCTCAGCCCCCCGGCAACGCGGGGATTAAAAAGCTTGTTCCCAAAGATCTCCGCGATAACGATTTTTCAGGAAGGGAAAGTACTCCCGTTTACTCGCACAGTTCAAGATATCTCACATTCAGCTTTATAGTTTCAAGATTTTAGAATCCAAGAAGACAATTTAACAGTTTTCGGATGTCATTTAACATGGAACCTAAAGAACCGAAAGTTTTGAACACAAAATTTGGTATCGTGGTTTTACAAACGAAATTGATACGTAAAACTAGAATACAAACGGAAATGGAGACACGTCACTTTGGAAATAAGCTCTTCAATTTACGATGATAGGTCTTCTCGGAATATTCTTTTTAGAACTCTCATTTTTAGGGTATCGTCAGAATGGATAAAAGTTAATGTATATTAATGTTAATGTTAATGTTAATGTAAGTCCGAAACAATTCTGGCGAATGCGGCCGACTCATATTGCATCATATTGTTTCTGCATCACACTGCATTCGACTGTGCTGACCATTCGTATTAAATGTATAGATAACATGTAATGAAATTAAAAGGATTACAACTTCTCAGTCAGAGCTAAATTTAATACCATATGTTTGATTTTACCTGATATTTGTTTGTAAAAAATCTTCACATTCTTATTACATTAAAAAAAGGTTGGGGTTTGACAGAAGCCTCAACCCATGTCATTCACTTCTAGTGAAATTTTCTGCCATAATTTGGAAGAATAGAATTGTAGTCTTCCTCAGGGCTTTTTCCCCCCACAAATTAACTAACCCTTCGGCAGACGCCTTAGAGCCACTTGCACGAGCAGGAGCGAGCAGCACTCGGTAGACCAGTCAGGAGCTTGGAGCTGGTTCCGGCTGAGGCGGTGCCTCGTACCTTAGCCATTGTCGTGCTCGGAATCACTAATCAATCAATTAATGATACTTTTATACCATTTATCTATTTCTTGGCCTGGCGTATTCTCTTTACATTCAGTAGTTCCACATCTGAAGTTAAAAACCCAGAGTAAGACTCGATGCCTAATTCTAAACCTTATGCCTAAGAATAATTGTTCAAAGGGATTGCTTTGTTAGCGCCAGTGGGCGAGGCAGGCATCTTACGGGGTTGGCGGCGCAGGGCTGCTGGGCGGGGTGCTGGCGCTGAGCGGGTCGGCGCTGTCGTCGTTCGCGCTGGACCTGGACCCGCTGGGCACGTCACGCGACCTGGCGGCGCGCTCCAACTGCCCGCACCGGCCGGCGCTGGCGCTGGTGCGCTGCCTGCAGGAGGCGCCCGTCGAGGCGCTCGTCGGCGCCGACTCCGCGCTCGAGGTGCGACACGAAGACGCTCTCGTGACGAGTGCTCATTGGCGAAGTTGCGAGTGTAAAGGCAGATAGGTTAGCGTGTCAAAGCAATCGCCAATTCGATGCGGCTAGTTACACTGCCGATCCGGTGGCCGAGATCGCTAAGGCAGTAGTGCCGTAGCGGTCTCGTACCGAAAGATCGCGAGTTCGAGTCCCGCTCCGGGCATGGTTGTATTGTGTTCATCCTTTCACCCTCTATCATCTTCATCATCATCATATCAGGGAAGGCAACGGGAAACCACCCCGAATAATTTATCCCAAGAAAACCCGTTATGGGTCACCTAACTTCCGTATATGGAAGGTAGGACCAAAGAAGAAGTTACACGTGCTTCAGGCGCGCGTTTCTTAGTCGGCGGAGAGGCCCCGGTCTTCGCGATTGACATAAAACATCCTTGAATCTGGCCTACGCAAAAATTCCCAATGCATTTCACATTGCAATACAGATAAAGCCTATTTTGACACCCTTTCCTCTCTCAACTACTAACAATATCTATCTAATTAAATACACGCACTCCACACATGTTCCACCTACACGTTATCTATTTATTAAAACATAACCGTGCATCGTTTTTTGTGGTGTTTTCCATTGTCGGTGCCATCACGTGTCACCTGAATCTGCTGTTTCTGTAGTGTTTTTCTCCTTTCTCTGCTTTGAATCTACGTGTCTGTGCTTCAAAAGCAAAGCTCGAGAATGCGTATCACTTTCGTGCACATACAAATCGGGTACCATGCGTCCGTTCGTCACTTAGTTAGACTCATTCCGGTCTACCAATCGGAGTAAATGAGGTGTCTTTGGACGGGTCTTATACTCGTGGGGTACTGACCTTTTGTCGTCCCAATCAAAAAGATTCAAAAGTGTGGTTAAAATAACGAATTTTGAGAGGATTTTAAGCAATTAAAATCGTTTCGAGGAACTTAAGGCGCCGTTAGAGGTGAGATTCATTATCTTCCTCTCAACAAGACAAAGAGATTTTCACAAGTCTTAGTCGGATCCCTCCTATTCTGGATGAGTTCTAAAACAACACGCGGTTTTCATTGCTTCAATGAACCTACATGATGAAATGATATGATTAATTATTTTGCCTTTTTGATATAACATGAATCTATACTTCATCAGATTGACGATCATTGAACCTAATTTTATAATGAAACATTTTTAAAAAAATTATAAGCATACTTGTTGATTTAACTTTCTGTGTTTTTAGATGGACACGTCGAGCAACTGTATTATATTTAAAACTTCTTTTTATTATGGATTTGAATAGCACAAAGTTATAATTTTTAACATAAAACTATCTGCCCAAGGGTCACGCTAAGCTAGTAAAAATATTAAATGAAAATAATATGCCATAATGGTTATATCGTTGAACATAATGCTGAATCAGTGAGGCCAGTTACGTAAACATTATAACACAATCTGTAACACTAGGTATCTCTGCGAAGTGCATATTATAGTAAAACTACACAAATCATTCGTAAACGGACTATTTGTCACTTGTAAAGTGGTCATATTAACATATAACATTACTTCCTTCCTCGCGACTGTACTCTCAAGACAAATACATTTTTTTGACATTCGTTTTAAGGCATTTTTGGACATAATTGATCAACGATGACACGTTTCAAATAATAATATTGTGAACATTATTTCCTGCTGAAACTTTCCTTCGAACCAAGTTCACTTATTACAAGTTCACTTATTATAAGTTACTTATTACAAGTTCACATGTCGCCTCCTCGACCAATACGGTTACTTTGTTTGGTATATACAAGAGTAAGCACTGTACAAATTGTAATTTTCGAAATTTAGAATACATTATAGCACTTCCTATATGTCGTAAACGTTTTGAAATACACCAATAGGTATATTATTATTTTACCAATAAATCGCTCGTGTTCACCGTCGAAAAAGTTTGAGCTTCTTCCCAAAGAAAATCGTAGCGGAAGGCCTACCTCCTGAGTGATATTGTAAAGAAAAGAGTACAATGTTAATCCCGATGTCTAAGCGTGGTTTGTGTGTCGGGGCGGATCCAGAAAATATTCGAAAGGGAGACGATTTTAGTTCGAACAAATCAGTAAAATAAAATTTAAAAAGAAAAGTTTCAGTAAAATGTTTTTTAATGTTTTAGCTTGAAATAAAAAAGGGATGAATGCACTCACCTCCGGGTGTGATTAACGCGTGCGCGCAGGACCTGCGGCTGCGCGCGCAGGGCCTGCTGGCGGGGCTGACGGGGCTGCTGGGCGCGGCGCCCGTGGTGGACGGGCCCGACGACGACCGCGGCCTGCCGCACTTCCTCCCGCGCCCGCCGCTCGACCTGCTCAAGGCGCCGCTGGGGCCCGACGACCTGCCGCTGCCGCCGCTCGTCACCGGCGTCACCGCCGCCGAGACCGCCACCGCCATCTACGGCGACTTCCGGCAGGAGGTGATACGCGGCATCGCCACCGTGCCGGGCTACGTCGACCACCTGCTGGGCGGCCTCATCAAGTGCACCGGTGAGCGACCGAAACCTCTTGGTTTAGGTGCGCCTGTCGAGGTTGTGGGAGTTGTTTCCTTTCCGTGTATTTGCAACGTTGCAACGCTCTTACATTTTCCTCGAGTTTCGGTTACTATATTATAAAATCAAGTATTAATATTTTTTGTTATCGTTACTCTGATCCGTTGCCTCTAGGATGGCTCATGGGTAGCGTACTAGCGTCCCGTGGTTTGACCCCGATTTCGATTCCAGGTCGAAGCAAATATAGTTGTAGCTTTCCTTTAAAATTGTTTCAGTTTCTGAAGCTGTGTGACGAAGAAAAGTTCAGGCTGGCGGAGTTTGCTAGTTACAGTAAAGAGAATCCATGTTTGTCACGAGTCACTCTTACCATCAAGCGTGGGAATTTAACTAGGTAGGACCAGGCATGGGAACGCCGTTAGCTATCCGGCAAAGTCGGACAATGGCCAAATACATATTCCTATCCGCATCACTGTTAGCTAGCCGGCAAAGTCGGCCTCAAAATGCCAAATACATATTTCTATCCGCATTCTTTGCAAATGAATGATAGTACATTTCAGTACATACCATACGTATACGGTGAATGAACCTACTGAACAGGACTATTTATTGAGTATTGTTATCTTCTTGTGGACTGTTACAAGTATTTCTGGAAACTATTCGCAGGAAATATCAGTACCAGGCAATGAAGTAGGAAAAGCAGGCCCAGAGTGATGCTCACTAGCCTAGACAAAGAAGTAGGCATTAGTGATCATCAAGATGCTACACCCGACGATGAAAAAATATGAAATACTTCTTTTATATTTCTATCGTTTTCTTCATTCTTTGATATAGACATACGTATCAATTTTCAAGTAAATTACTGTACAGGAATCGACACATGAATAAACGATATCTCAGTCGACCACTCTAAATTTAACAAGCTAAAATTCCTCATTGTAGCAAGTTCCTCATTTTCCGCAGCGCCGCTGGTGGGCAACATGACTGGTACACTCCTGCACACGCTGGCGACCAACTACTTTAGCTTCCTCTCCATCAAGGACACGCCGCAGGCGCTCAACAGACTCGTCGAGGTAAGTGTAAGGACCATCTCTTGATGCGCTGCTTATTTATTTATTTCAATTAATCGGTTCCTGAGCCCTTTCGACCATACCTAGAATGGCTATACGGCTGTGTGATATGATATGGTTAATGATTGAAAAGTGGAGGATTAAACGAAACGAAACCGGGAGAACCCCGAGAAAATCTTGTGGGAACCAACTTTGTCCGCCACACCACGTTACATGCATGTAGCGGGATTTGAACGCTGGAACCCAAAGGTGTGGGGTGACCGGTGTGACCAGAACAGACGCCTTATTAATACCCAATTCCCCACGAAAGGAGTAGTTAAAATGTAGACGCATCTCTGGCAGGTGACGGGCGACGCGTTGTTCAACCTGCCGGCGTGGACGACGGCCCAGTGGTGGTCGAAGCGCTCGCCGCTCTACCTGTACGTGTTCGAGCACGCGAGCTCGCAGCAGGGCGGCGGCGCGGCCTTCCTACAGGGGCTGCCGCTGGTGTCGCACGGGAACGGCAGCGGCAGCGGCGGCGCCAGCCCCGCCAGCGGCAACGACGCAGACATGCCCGACCCGCCCCACGACGCGGGTGAGTCCAGCGGGCCGTTGGCATTTAATCCACGTGGCGAGGTCTTGTTTGCGAACGGGAACACTAGCTAAATGTGATGAAGACCATCGTCAGAATTTCTAGGCAAGAGAAGTACAACACCTTCATATAGTTCGATCATGAATCGTTTCTATACAAGAAATATTACGAGTACTGCAGAAAATACCATGTTAATTTCTCAATATTTGTTAATATAAATCAACATGATATTATATGTAAAAACAAATTTCTAAAAAAAAACACCATTATGTAAAGAAAACCAAACCGATTTCAGCTATTTTAAGTCTTAAAGTGAGACGTCGTTCAAATACATTTTATAGCTCTTGCAAACATTCTATTCTTACATATTGAAACGTTGTGGACCTCTACCATAGCAAATTATGAGAGGTTAGTGAAGCGAACTTAGATTTGAAAGTCGCAACGCAGTCCAAGTTGTGTACCTTCGACTGAAGAAAGAGGTTTTTTACACGCCTTCCGTTGCAAGGGTAGTAAAGTGGATTTCTGTATTGAGGATATCCGAATGCAATCTTGCGACAGGGCCTGGCCACGGCGACGACCTCCCGTTCGCCTTTGACGCGCACCCCTTGGAGCCAGCGGAGGGTGCGGAGACGAACGAGCCAGACGACATCTTCGGCCTGAGCGACCCGCAGGACTTCTCGGTGCAGGGCCACGTCACCGACTTCATCGCTGAATTCGCGCGGAGCGGGTGAGTGGTTTAAAATGTGCAGCGCGTGATAGAATTCTGAACCACTGAGAGTTCCAAGCAACGTATATATACTTCGCTCTCATCTGATTTGAATAATTTGTCAACGTTAAAATGGTCTGAAAAGTTAACATTGCTACCTTTCATCTAGAGAAAGGTTTCCCTTTGATAAGACACTATGTCGTGACAAGAGAGAAAATCACAAATTCGTCAGATGTTAAAGCGAACGTCAGATGTTAAAGTGAAATGTTAAGTGAACCAATGGGGATTTTTGGGAAGCAAGAAAGTGATTTTCTATCAGGAAATTCCGGAATTTGTAACATGAGAATGATGTGGTACAGAATGGCGAAATTACTATCGTGAGTCGTTGCATTATAATTTAATTGAAATAACTAGAAATCAGATTTGGTATAATGTACTCGGGCCTGATGAACTCTTGGGCGTTGTTCCTATGAGCCACAATGCTAAAGCAGAGGCCATGCCAATTCATTGGCCACGAGCGGAAGGTCGATATTTTCACGTAAATTCCTGTTTTTATTGTAATAAAAAACCTACATTCTATCATTTTTTAAATTTACAAGAGATTCTCATTGTATTAGAAGTATTTTTATTTTACATATTTTTAAATGTGCTATATATTACATATTTAGTTACATTTTAATATATTTATACGTCGAAATGAAACATTTCATATACTAATTTGCAAAGTGAGTTACTAGAATAATCTTTCTTACAAAACAATGTAATCTTTTTGCGCTTCTATTAACATCGAACCTTCGGCAGGTATTGTTAAACTTATCCAAACCTCTTTTTGGAAACCGCAGAATCAGAATTATTCAAGAATCAATTCAGAATCAAGAATGAAGATTTTTGAGGCAAAAGCAATTACAATTAAGTACTTGCTCGTGTTTCATAGTCCATGCATAACTCAATCGAAGACAAATATTTGTATACAGATCATAGTCATCTCACGTTGTTGGATAGGGGAAGGGTATATTCCCTTCACCCCGCCACAGTCCAGCAACATGATTTCACTTGAGCATCAGCTCCTCAGAAACAGCGTATATTCTGCGAGCATATTGTAGAATAAAGTTTTATGTATTGAAGGCGAGTGTATAATTACTTCTGTACAAGTAGAACTACCTTTCAGTTGCTTCAAATCCATGATAAGAGCTGATTGGCGACTTTCTGTGCTCGGAAAATGCATGTATAGAGCAAATTAAAACCCTATAATGAATTTTTATTTTACATACGTTTTTATTTTGCTGACAATTTCAAAAAAGTAAATACATATACAAGTTCTTTTTTCGTCTTGTGTTTCATGGTAAGCCATCGAAGGCCTATTCCAACTCAGAGGTAATCTTCTTCTTGGGCGCCCTACATCCCGATATCCGAAAGGATATTTTCTCACTCATTTTTTAAAATTACAAATAATTTCATTCCCTTGTGGTAAGCGTCATCCGTCTCCTTATCGTAGAGAAGTTCTTGGGTGTTTTCAAGAACACAAAGCAGTGTGTATCGGAGTGCTCGTAGTCCTTTGACTTAATATTATCACCTTAACTTTCAATAGGTCCCTCCAACTACCAGGGCTTAGAAACCTGTGTGTGACGATTCCTTAACTCTTAGTTCGGTCAAGGGGGAAAATGTAATTTTGGGTCGCGACAAGTCGTTATAAAATTTGCCCTAGCTTGGCAGCCACTAACTGCTGCGAGTTCGAATCCGCCTGGGGACCACCCGGAATGTGCGCAGGGTGCCGGCTGTGCGCGGCGCCAACGTGTCGTGGCCGGCGTTCGCGCCGGGCGGCGGCGGCCGCCACCTGCGCGTGGGGCCCTCGCCGCGCGCCGCAGACGACTTCCGCACCTGCCAGATGGAGCTGTGGACGGGCGCCCTGGCGCGCTCCGGGCTGCCCGCCGCGCTGTTGCGCCGCCTCCGACGCGCTCCCGCCCTTGGCGGCCCGTCGCCGGCGCCGCCTCGTCGCTGGCGGCGGCCTGGCCTCAGCGAGCGGCGGCGCGCGGGGCGGATGGGCCGGCTCACGGGCCGGCGGAGGGCGCGCGGCCTTCGTCCCCGGCCCCGGCGCCGCCCCCGGCCACGCACGTCCGCCAACCGGCCAACGTTGCTGCCTCCCCGTACGGCGCCTCATCGGATAACTCTAGACATAATAGTTCATATGACCCTCCAAAAGCCTCATTAGGTACCGATTAATTCCGAGAAGTAGCTCAAGAAAAACTCATTTGGGCGTCTTTTCCTTGATCTCCGCGAACCTTGTACTTGGCACTTAGGCCCTTGTTATACGCTCTAGGAAATTTTCCGATGACAATAGCTCTGAGAGGCGGGGTATAAAATTAATTACCCATTTGTCAAATATGATGGAAAGTAATTCTGTTGTATTTACAAGTAACCCTAAGCCATCTCTCTTGAAATGTGTGTTTATAGCACAATATCGGGCATGGGGAATGTGCTTATGGGAGCCCCTCATCATCTGCCGAAGGAGCGTCGATGAACTGATGGCACGGGTCCCTAACTACCAAGGCCATTTATGGAAGAACAATGTCGTATTCACAAACCAGAACCTAGGCCTTGGCAGCACACTTCTCCTGGAACCATTTCTTAAAGGAAGTAGTAATTTGCTTAAACACAATCGAGCTAATGAATTGTGCGAATAGGAAAAACATTTTTCTCATATTAAATGGTTTCTCTCATTATGGCTCCCTTCAAGACATCATGTGAAGTTCACTTGTGTCCAATTTATGATCTCACTTTCAAAAACCCACTTTGAAAGTGATAAAATGGTTTTTTCAGACAATATGTTGAGAGTAGGCTGACACAAGATATTTACTTTAAATAAATATATCTGAAATACTTGCTGAATTGCTAAAACAATTATTCTAAATATTCATTAATTTATATGTAAAAAAAAATCTCATTGCTGCTTTGTTACATTATGTTTGTACAAAAAAAGGGCACAAAAGTAATCACTTCAAGGTCTTACTGATGTAAAATAAATGCAAACAAGTTACAATGTGGCTAATTGTTCAAAATGGTTGACTGGCTTAAATTTCATTAATGAATTACGTGTTTTTAATGAAAAATGTAAATAGATATTACACTTGCATATGCATGTACTTTAAATTAATGCAGAACACAACTTGCGAGAATATGGGAATCCTTGGCAGAATGGTCACCTTCCATCCATACACATTACTTTGTACATGTTTTTTTTCCAAAAATGGCCTTCTCTCAAGTTTGTCTTGTATTTATGCACAATTCTGATTAAAATTACTATTAATTTGTTATGAAAAGGAAAGTGATACAATAAATATCAATCTTGAAGGAAAAGTAAATTGTACAATAACAGGAATGTTTTCATAAAATAACTGAAATATTTAATAAAACTTAAAAAATACTCTTCAATAAGCATTGTGATTTACACCTTTCATGTTATGTAGTATCTGAGAGTGTGTTTTGTAATAAATGTTACAACGTTGGGGAAATAGGTTTGGGTGTGGGGTGGGTGGGTTGAAGATTATCACCTTTTGCCAATGAATATGTGGTGAAAAATTTCGTGTAGCATAGTAGTACATGTGATATTGGCTTCTGATATATGCAGTGCATCGTGCAATGATGTATGGCAGGTCATTAAAATACCTTCATCCGTATCAGAATGTACACCTGTGAACCTGAATGAACGCCCCCAAAAGCCAATGCATGACGAATTGCTTATTAATTATGGCCTAACACCATACACACAAGTTTGTTAAATTAATTTTCTCACCTCAAATTCATTGGCAGAAGGTGATTATCTTCAACACGACTACCTGCTTTAAACGTTTGTAACATTTATTGAGACACCTATACAACTCCTCAAGATAGTATTTATAGGCGTGTTCAAATAATTAGACTAAAGACATTTTTCGTAAAAGATTTGCATTTATTACACGTTTACATTCCTGTGCATGTTACAGTCATGCATTTAATACTTAGTGTTAGTATGCAAGCCTTTGTTCTTATTCAACAACTTTATCCTGTTTGGTGTAATGTTTACCAACTTTCCACCTCAGATTTTAATTTCATCATTGCAGTACCAAATCTCCTCTGGTTTGTCTATGGCTTCTTGTTATTAGTATTGTGGTGAGTTTTCATTGGCGTTTACAATGAAATAATTATATGAGTCGTCATTGCCAACAATATTGTATATTACAATAGCAGCTTTCGATGGCCTAGCCATCATCATCTGTTTTCTGCTCTAGTTGTTTTTGTGGCTTCCATTCAACAGAAAACTGATGATGACTAAGCCATTGAAAATTGCTATTGTAATAAACAATATTATTGGCAATGACAACTCATATAATTATTTCATGGCTCTTGTATATTTCCTGATTCATCTGTACTTTTTTTATCATCTGAACTCATGTGTCGGGTCTGGTTTTTTAAACTTTTCTGGAAGTGAGGTAGTTAAAACATTGGAGTAAGATTTTACATCATCAGGAGGTAGCTGGGCACTGCTTACCTCTACGAAGCAATGAATGCTCAATTCCTGTACCCAAATGATTTCACAAATCAAACATTTCATGTGTGTAGCGCCAACCGACATTCTGTTTCTGTCAAAATGATATTTCCTGTCGTGTAGCTATTGGTTGTCAATCTTCAACTCGACTATAGAAGTCCAGCTGAAAGCAGTGATAGTGCTTTACACATCTATTGATATGATGCTGGGGTATTATCACAAAGTAAAGTGGTTTCATACTGCTTTCTGAAGACTTTTGGTAGGTATTTTCTACAATAAATAGTAAAACTTTTCATATAGAAGCTTCTTGAGGCATACCAGAATTAAAAATAATTTATTTTGTGCCTTTTCACAAAAATTAGATCAAAGGATTATAAAAAAGAAATCTGAAGAAAAAAGAAGTGCAGAAAAAAAAAGGTTTCCTTCAGTTCCCATCAAATGCCAGGCCAATCCACAGGCATTGGAAAGGTATTTTAGTAGAATAACATCTCTAGAGAATAGACTATTCAAAAAGCAATGATACTGAAGAATTATTCTTTTTCTGACAAGTAGCTATATCATGTCATTCTTCCAAGGATTCACCATTGTAAGGCATTAGGCATTGAGTCTTATAGTGGCTTTTAAATCTGCCCACACACTTCTGATGTGAAATTAATGAATTTAAACAGAATACACCAAGCCAAAAAATAAATACCTGACATGAAATTATCACTGATTGGTTGATTGATTTAATTATTTCAGAAAAATCAACTGCTAAAGTCATTAGTCCCTTAAGTGAAGTGCATGTTTTCTTTGGGAGGTGGTAGTGATCTTCCCCTGCTAAATGGGGGTATCTGGTGCAAACCCAAATGTTGGCTAGCAGGGTTTTCCCTAATCAGGTATCTCCAACCAGTGGGGCACCAAACCAAATGGAAAAAACTAAGCTACAGACTGTACTCCTACAGAACAATGAAGGATGTACTCCTGGCATGTGCAGTAGTGTAGTGAGAATAAGTGTAAGTGTGTGCAAGTAGGGGCAGGGAACAAGGTAGGGGATTGAATGTAATCAGTGGCCCATAAGTTAGAGAACTGATCCAGCATTCACCTAGTGTTAATTTGAGAAACTCTGGAAAACTACCATTCAGAGCAACTGGTCACTAAAATTCTCCTCCGGCTAGTGGCTGAATTCAACCTAGTTATCTAGCTAGCGTTGAAAATCCACCTAACGTTACCTAACTTTATTAGGCAAAATTGATTTAAATATTACGTATTAGAATGAAGTAAATATTTAAAAATCATATTATATAGTATCATATATACACTACAAAACTTTACAATATAACAACAAATATTTTTATTTAAACAAAATCTGTGATCCCTATCCTATCTCAAAGACTGACTGGATCTGCCCCTGCCTGAGCCACGTAAGCCAGTTGAAGTAATAACAAAATTTAACTATTTCAATGAAAGGAATAATACACACAGAAAATGTTTAACTTAAATGCAATTACCATTTATTTCCTTTTTAATGCTTTCAAGATTAAATGTCTTGACATTAAATGTCAATGAAAGTTTTCACTGTAACCAAAGGCAGTAATACAAATTTATTTCCAAGTCAGCATAAATACTTTTATGAATATTACTATATGCATGCAAATTTTTTTCTTTACAAACTGCAATATTATAATTTAACATTAAAAAAAAAAGGTTTTTGATATTAGATATTTTGGTTATGAAACATGGAACAATATGTGTATGCAATCAATACACAATAACACATAATTCATAAATGGAGCTATCACAGATGCAGATGCATTGATGTTTTGAATCCAAATTATGTAGATTTTGGTGAAATTGAATCTTCTTCAGCTAACTCAGAGTTATTTTGTTCTTTCTCTTTCATCTGTGAGTCTTCTTCAGTATGTTGCTGATCAGAAGATGCCTCTTCAAGGTAGGTTCTCTCCCTAGATTCACTCAATACATCTTTTTGAATTACCAATGATGTCACTGATTCTTGATCATCGGTTGACATTGGAGTCACCACACATGATGAATCTGGCAATTGTTTTTTCTTTCCTGTTATAATGGCATCTGCTGTAGTACCAACAAGTTCAGTCTGAAAATTATTCTTTCTGTCATTTTCAGTCTCAAGATCTATCACTTCAACTGAATCAGCCATCAAAGCTATTTTAGATTCATTCACATCAACTGAACTCCCTTTTTTCCTTGAATCAGCAATGTCATTGAGATCAACTCCTTTGCTTCTTCTTTTTACTTGCTTATTTACTTGCTTTTTACTTGCTCTAACTTCACTTGATTCATCCAAACAAACTTCATTCATTTCTACATAATGAATTTCTATATCCTTTCTGATACTTTCTGAGAGAGGAATGGGTTCTTGTTGTGAACCATCCAAAGAAGCAGTGTTTTCATTGTTTATTGTTGGTACATCTTCCTTCCTTGTAGAGGATTCATCAATAGTTTTAATATCATTCCTTTCTTCCACTATTAGAAGAGACATTTCTTCACAAGAAACTGGATCTTGTGTAGTCTTGTCTAATGAAGCAGCCTTTTTGTTGTTTGTTGCGGGTGCATCTCGCTTCCTTATAGCAGATTCATCAATAGTTTTCATAACATTACCCTCTTCCAACGTTAGTAGAGATATTTCCTTAAGAGAAACTGGTTCATGTTTTGACCCATTCAATGAAGTAACTTTTTCATTGTTAAGTGCAGGTGCATCTTGTTTCCTTGTAGAGGGTTCATCAACAATTTTATTACCCTCTCTCTCTGACACTGTTGGTAGAGATTTTTCGTCATGAGAAACTAGTTTTGATTCTTCCAATGGAGCAGCCTTTTTGTTGTTTGTTGCGGGTGCATCTTGCTTCCTTACAGCAGATTCATCAATAGTTTTCATAACATTACTCTCTTCTAATGTTAATTGAGATATTTCCTCAAGAGAAACTGGTTCATGCTTTGACCCATCCAATGAAGTAGCTTTTTCACTGTTAAGTGCAGGTGCATCTTGTTTCCCTGTAGAGGGTTCATCTACAATTTTATTACCCTGTCTCTCTGTCACTGTTGGTAGAGGTTTTTCTTCATGAGTAACTAATTCTTGCTTTGACTCATCCAATGAAGCAGCCTCTTCATTGTTCCTTGTAGACAATTCATCAATAGTTTCAATATTTGTTCTCCCTTTCATTGCCAGTGGAGGTATCACTTCATTTGATGCCTCACATAGGCAAATTTTGTCTCTGTTTACAACTTTGCTTACCTTCAAATCTATTGTACCATTATCAACATTAGTTTTAGTATTTTCCGTCTGGAATGTCAAATTAGTCAACTCTATCAAATCTGAGTGAGATTTTACAACATAAGTATGTTCTTTTTCCAGCAGATTGGTTTCTTTAAATGTGTTCAATGAAATGTTACTAATTTGTGAAGATGGCATTTCCTCTACGTCAGCACCTTGCAGCAACATTTGTGATATACTAGATGTCAATTTTTGGGAATTATCAACAAAACTTTCTATATCCGAGTGATTTGCAGTAAGCACTTCATTACTGGGAGGCTGTTCAGCAGATGAAGAAATTTTTGTAGGTAATTTGGCTTTCTCTACAGTTTTAGTTTGTAATGTACCAGGAGTTAACACATGACTAGGGTTGTCATTGTTCGATGTGTCTGTGTTAATTTTTGTCCCACAGTCCTCATCTGTATTAATTATATTGGTCACTTCCAATGGACCTTTCTCACTTTGTACTTGACAATGGTTTTCTGGGTCTGTTGTTTCTAAAGACCTACATTCTTTATCATTAATCATACTTTTTACCTCTTTTACAATTTTCTCTGCATCATTTATTTCTTCATTAGCACCAATGTTATAATCACTTTCAATATCGTAAGTATTTCTTGTATCTATGTCTCTTGTTTTCTCTGTATCATTTATTCCTTCCCCAATTTCTCTCAACTCGAATGGGCTCAATCTTTTTTCCTCCATATCCTTAGTTAATTCTTCCATTTTCTCTTCAATACTTACATAATTTTCAGATCCAGAACTCTCTAAATCATCAATAGTAATAAGTTCTTCACGAGATGCATTCCTGTGTAAAATTTTATCTGAATCAGTAATTTCACTATCGCTTACAAGATCAACTAACATAATTTCTTCAGCTATATCTTGATCATCATAAACCAAACTGTGATATTTAACCAGATCTTTCCTTAATATATCACTTATTTGGAAGGGCTTTCTTTTCTTTATTGTTTTCTGCAAATCAACAGCTTTGTGTATTTCTTTCCGGTTCCTTTTTGGTTCAGTCCTCTTACTTCGGTTTTTACTTATTCTTTTCACAATCCAATCTTTATCAGTGCTTTGAAGTGCTTTTGTGTTAACAAATGACTCAATGAAATCTTCTGAAAACCGTTTTCTTTTGGGGAAAGTATCACTCTTAAAACTAGGTAAAGATCGTTTTAGTGCTTTTACTGACCTAGCATTCTGACTTTTTTTACAGACCTTAATAGATTTTGAAATCTTAGTAAGCAGCAGTGAAATACCCTGTTTTTCATTTTCCTTCTCATTTAGTATATTCGTAGTATTAAATGGGAACAAAGTAGGAGGGCTCTCAACAGAAGGCAGATGAACCATTTTGTGGATGCTCACCATGGAAGTCATACATAGTTTTATAACCTGCATGAGAGAAATGTAAATATTAATTTCATTCTATTGAGAAAAATGAACATATGCATTTTATTTTTCTGGTATAATATTGTAACAATTTCAACACCTTGAGAAGACACCATGAGTAAGAGTGGTCTCATATATACCTGCCCTAAATAAATTATATTACTTTATCACTTTATCACATATTAGAATAATATACTACTCATACATCCACTTGAATAATATGTACCAATTTGGTAGTGCACACATGCACACAAACTAGACATGCGATGACAGAACATATTTTCAGGTGTTATTGGCAGTAATATTATTATATTGTAACTTCTGATCCAACACTTTTGCAATTTTTGAAATTTTTTTAGTTTCAAATTTTTATTTTAGTTTTAATAAAAATTCAACCTGCACCTTTTTTTACGGTAAGCTTTTCCAAAGGCCCACTAAATGTGGACTCTGACTAGTAAGTAATTTTCTATACTTCAGAAAAAAGAAAATACATTTTCTTTAGTATCAAGAGCCCACGAGAAGTGTTTTTTTTTTAATTAAGAAAATCGGTCCTTATCTACTTTTAATAGCTTCTCTGTACTATGTAGGCTTAGTAGTATAAGAGAAAGTTAACTTAATTGACAGGCACAAGGAGTCAGTTCTAAGAAATCATAGCAGAATTTCATCAAGCACTTTTAATTTTCATTCCCAGGATTAGCTTTAATTTAGTAAGTTTCTGAAAGTATTTCAAATAAAAGAAAAATAAAAACTAAAAATCAAGAATAAAAGAAACGGAAGACATTTGAACATCAGTAATTCAGTTTACAACAAAACCATTTATAGAAAATAACCTCACCTCACGAGAAGAGTCCTGTTGACCTCTTGGGAAAAGAGAGAAAGCATAATTTGTGGGAGGGGGCCATTGAGGATGTGGATGAAGTGTCAGGACAAGCAATAGTTGATACAAATGCAGTCGGCACTCAGGCACATTGTAGGGAGCTGGTATATCTTCTGGGCTACAGGACTGTTGCACTTCCAAAAGATGAGATACAACAAACTCTTGCAATTTCTGTTGCAAAGAAAAAACATTATTTCTGGAAGCATTTTTTTTATGTATTAGAAAGAAGTAAACTTTAGAGTATTCCAAAAGAGTATGAAGGGGGAAATATTTTTATTGGCACCTTTAATTTTCCTACAAATATGATGACATACCCAAATTCACTCCTATGCCCATTTCAACATGTGCACATGCAACCACCTCCACATATGAGTGCACAAGCACTCATGCAAGCTTTCTCAAATGGATACACATTTAAACACACTCACCCACATGGTCCCTTGTTCACTTACAGAAGAACAACCGTACACACAGATATAATCAATGTTACATAAATACATGTCTGCATCCTTGAATGCCTTAAATTCTGCTTAGACACTCATTTGCATTCTTACAGAGATTCATTAATGCTATTAAATCAGAAAGAATTTTGTAACAAGATATTTAAAGAAATGTCCTCCTACAACCACGTTTTACTGTTGTAAAGATTTAAAAGTTAAGAGAATAAGACAATCATAAATAATGTGTGTTTTTGCTAGTAATTGTATTTGTTAAAATATATGGTAATTCATGTATTGAAAACATAGATATGAATTAGCACTAGAAAATCCAAGATGGATTTTAAATGATACTATGATCAATTATAAACTAAAAAGGAGACTGCAGATATATTAAATTTTTGTGCATTGTAATGTTCAAAAGGGAAAGACAAGTTCTCGTTGAAGTTAGATCTAAATTTTACCTTATGAACAGAAGGTTTAAGCCGAGATCCAGATGTTAATACAAGAGCACACAGTGCCCGCAAGGCAGCTTCACAAGTACTAGAAATTGGTTTTATGTGCAATTCTTGCCAAAGACTTCGATCACTTTTATATTGGTTACACAATTCTTGATCCTGAACAAAAAAAACAAAACTTACACATTATAAATCAAAACATTTTTACATTAATCTCTTTGAAAACAAAAGTTTAAGTTATCGATTGAGAAAAGTCAATTTCATGAAAAGATTTGTTTATTTTCAATTCAAATTATGTTCAATATTTTAATAGAAGATGGACCAGACCATTTAATATGCGAGACAACAAAGCTAAAAAGGCTTGTCTCATGTTTACATTGCAGTTTTAAAACTGAATCTACCTACAACTTGCTGCATTTTTGTGTAGTGTTATCAAGGCAATTGGAGCTGCAGTGGCTCAAGTGATGGGTTGATTGCTTCCTGACATGAAGAACACAGGTTTGAATCCCAACATGGGTTGGGATTTTCATTCAGGGTCATTCTGAGGTCAACTCATTGTCCCTTCAAAGTGAGGACCAGGATTTTATCTGGGGGTAAAGGCAGTTAGAGCATTGTGCTTACCACACAAGATCCTTCTTGTGCCGATGGCAAGGAATAGGTGGAGCCTTCACCTTTCCCATGAGCCAAATCAACATGTGTGCAATTGCAAAGGGATTCCTTTACCCATTAAGGTAATGTTTTGTATCAGTATTTATGCAATAATGTATTGACACTTCATAAATGTCATTTCCTTCAGATTCCATTATAAAAATAAAGAAATATGCTTTCAAAAGTGTATGTTGAATTAATACAACACTGTCCCATACACCAACCTTAGGCTAATTATAGAACATGATAACAGTTGTTAAGAAGATTCTTGCCCCTTGACGTACAAATTATTACAACTGAACAGGTATAGGCACATTTTAGATTATTTTGGAACTGCTAGGGAATTTCCTTTTAGTGAACATTAATAAACTAATGTGACGGATATAATCAAGAGAGCTTTTCCTGAAAAAGTGTCATTTTTTCCATAGAGAGGGATTCCATTTAAGGGAAAAATCCAGAAGAAAAAACAACCAAAATATATGAATAGGGACATATAATTTGTACCATTTGTAGGGGGAAAAAGTGTTCCAACTTTCATAACTTACCCAATTTGAAGTATTGTATTTTCTCTGACAGAGATCGTAAAAAAGAAGTGAAATTAATTCTTCATCAAAGAGTTCAACACAAGAAGCAGCCTTTGCTCTGAGAATCCAGTTCTCCATAAAATTATATACTGCCTTTCGTGTTTTACTGCAATTTAATGAATAAAGTCTAATTTGAAATGTTTTATCATCTCTTTTACTAATTAAATGAAATACATAAATGGATATGGGAAGTTATTAGTAAGAAATAGCATTGAACTGTATTAAATATATTATACTTAATTAAATATCTTTCCTTTTTTCATATTATATATTTTTTTTACCTGTAATATTGTTTCATTCCCGGACACAGTGAAGAAGAATTTACCTTGAGGGTTTTTATGATGATGTTACAAAACAATGGTCCAAATTTCAGAAGACCACCCTTACAACTGCAATGTTAATAATCATTATCAAAATGAGAATGAATTGATGTGTGTATTGAACAATAAAAAAAGACAAAAAGGCTTTTGCTTCCAAAATTCGGAGTTTAATCACTGGTCTATAAATCTCCTGCAATATTATTCACATAAGCACATTTAAGATTAGATTTAAAATTAAAATTATTATGTCCAACCAAACACATTTTTAACATTATTTTAATACAAGATCCTGTAAAGATTTTTTGAATTTATCACATAATAAAAACAAATATATACTTACCAGGATACCAAAGACTTCAGAAGGTTCAAAAGCTGGGTTTGAATATCTGGCAAGACAGATATTAATGCAACTTGCCACATGGTACTTGAATTTTTTAACATATCATAGCTGACAGAAAGACCACGGTATGCCAAAGTTATAACGAGATCTATTCGGATCTCTTTAATGTAATCACATGATTCTCTGTAGAAGTGAAGAACGAATTTTTATAATGTATTAATTTCAATCTTGTGTTTTCTCCAAATAAATTGAAATGGTTGAACTATTTAAAATAAAGGTTTCAGAAAGAGAGGATAAATATTCTTTAAACAGTCATGTGTTTCTCACATTATAATTATAGAGTGCAGCATACTCACACTAGCATTCCTTCAATGAAAATTAAAATGTTAATAAGACGCTGAGCTAGCCGCTGAGCTAATGAAATGGAATCGTCAGATTCAATAGGTTTGATCATGATTCCTTCAGCAATTTCTCCAAGGGAAGAAGATATAACAATTTCAGGAACGTTTTTGAACAACTGATGCAACACTGAGTTAGCTGCCACACATAACTCTGTAAGGAGTTTAGACCAGGCACTTTCCTGATTATTGCTATTCTCTGTAATTAATGGTAGGTAGCATAAGCAGCGGCTAGTATATTTCACTAGATTTTCATCTTCTTCATCCATGAAGTTCAACAAATATTTCTGGAGAGATTTCTAGAAGAAAAATCAAAACCGTGACATTTGATTACAATGCTACATTGGCTCTAGTCATTTGAATTATTATTTTTCCTTGAATATTTTATTGTAATGAATTTAAGTAAATCAAATACTGAATTATCTTGTATTATTTATTTACATACTATTTTTTGTTTACATACTATTATTTACATATGAATTTTACACTGCATCATAAATGTTTTCTATTCAGTAGTAACTGGTTACTGAAAATTGAAATTAAAATAAACATTTTTTTGTCCTTGTATTTTTATAATCATTACACCTAGAAGTTATTTCTCAAGAGCAGGGGTTCCCTAACTATACTCCATAGAGACTACAGGGCATCTTGTAGCCTTTCAAAAAGGTCTGTAAATATATTGACTTGATTTTATAAAATCAAGTCAATATATTTATTATTGATTTTATAAAATAAATTATTTCAATTATTAAGAAATCCCTTGCAGTGCAAAAATATTTGTTAAGTCTTTTGATGCTCTAAATTCTATTTTCCCTCACACAAGTGGAAATGGTCATAAATTGCTAAACAAAATGTAAACAACCTATTATATCTTGCTCAATTTTGGGACTTTGAAGTTCTAGTAGCAATTAAATAATAACATTTTGGTGTTGTATTTATTGTTCATCATTCAACTATCAGCCTAAAGTAAATCATCAACAAGTAAAAACAGAGATTGCTTAATTAATTTGCAGAAAGGCTCAGCTAGGGAGCCCTTGCTCTGTACCATAGGTCTACATATCCAGTGTTTACTGATAAAAATGAATATCCTGATACTTACCCATTGTGCTTTGCATGTGTCTGAATAATACTGAAACAGAATCTGAAGACATTGGATTGCAGGGTATGTAGGCTTCTGTTGCAAAGAAATGCAGAATTTATTTTCAACTTCTAAAGAACAAATTTATTTAATCACAAATTTATTATCACTAATAAACAAAATTAGAGAAAATAATTTTATTTTCTCACAAAAAACTCATTGTGTATATGTGTTTTCTTATCCATTTCTCAAAAATATTAATTTTGTACCTCATTAATATTGACTTGAAAACTAAGTTCTCAAATCCTTCAATGTTTCAAAAACCAACATAAAAGAAAAATTAAAAACCCCAAAGAAACACTTGTGAATAATGGCAGTTGACTCAAAGTGAAAAACATATTAATGGAAACCAAATGAGAATCACAAATGTGATAAGAAAGAATGGAATATTTTCTCAGAATTCGACTTACCTTAGACTCCAGAAGCTGATCCACGAGTCTTGGGACAACTCTTTTACTTATCAGATTTGTCAAGTTTTTAATATTACTTGATTTTTCAAGACACATTTCTATAAGTAAAACCAGGTTCAGGTTTTAACTTACTTAACATAGGTAGACAGTCAAATTAATTCAATGTACACTCACTTCTCAATTAAAACAAATTAACAATAAATATTAAGACTAATTCTGCAGGAAACTTATGTCAAAACACAAATGTAGCAAGAATATGAATTGAATATATGAAGTAATGTTACACTATGTAATGTTTTCAGTTAAAAAATGAATGGCCAGGTAGTTGTTTTTGTTATTATCCAGAACTACAAAGCATATTCTTGAATGAAAAATTAATCTATGTAATATTGAGAACAATAATTTGATATGAATTTTAGTTGCTTCACATTAAAGTAAGGAGTTTGTAATAAAACAGTTCTCATTTCGTCACTTGCAGATTACAAGTAGCTCTTAACATAATTAAATTTTGTTATTATTTTGGAATTTTTTTTATTTATGCAAATTCAAGAGCACTTTGAACTTCTCTGAAGAACTGTGTCATGAAAAATGAGTCAAACAATCAAATGTGATTGATTTTTAGTAGCAGCCCAACAGTTTTTATCTGAACAAGCTCATCTGAAATTAAAACTGCTCTATTTTAAAGGTAATTTTAATAATTTACTGAAGTTAATAACATGTATTAGTACTAGTGCTCAGTAATAGCAGTCGATTTATTTTAGTTTACAGGCAAAATAAGAGAAGGAAGGAAGGCTCTTTCAATATTTGGAAGCATTAATTTTCCTTTATACCTGGAAAAAAACCTATTGACACAGTACACTGTTATAAACATTTGAATTTTATGACATTGTGACACTACACATCCAAATTTATATAATATGTATTCAAAAGATTAACAAAAGCCTTATATCAAGGAGTCAAAATTTAGCACACAGAATCAAGCTATTTCCGGACTGCAACATTACCACTACCACCACCATCACCATTTGCTTACATTCGATTGTTTACAGTCTTTCTACAGATGGGCTGCTAATGGGATTAATACCAAGGTTCAATCTCTAATACTAAGTTTTCGTTTGGAAGTAGAGCACCAATTTCTACAATAACAATATAATTTTTAGTGCTGTCTGGACACAATATTATACAGTTCCATCTACAGTTTGCATATGTCATCAGAATTGGGAGTTTCTATATCACAAACAAATATGATTATTGTAACAATTATTAGGGCACTGTTAATTTCTCTTGGGTCAATAGAATCAAATGAAAAATATCGTAAGGTTTCCTTTTCTGTTAGGAAAAAAAAAGTTATTTTTATTACCAAATTGAGAGGAACAATGTCACTGGAAAGAAGTTAACAGAAATAAGAAGTCAACAGTATGATTCTGTGAAAGAGAAAATGCTATTATGCATCATTCAAAGATTCATTTCATTGTATGACAAATATTTAAAAGTGACAATTATAAAACAACTGAAATCAATGGATAGATAATATTAATTGCAGTTTCTTTACTTACAAAAATAACGAATATATTTAATGACTTGTTTTTAAAATAAAATCTTCTCACAGCAATCAACTTTTCCTTCAAATATAGATTGATATCAGGGCAAAATGTTTTATAGCTGCCCAACATTTCTTATTTATGCTATTAGAGGGCACAAATTACTAAGGGGGGGGGGGGAAGTTGGAAATATTAAAATATTAACGATTGCTGAAGACTGCTCTAAAATATAAATCATTAGAGATGCAGGAAGACTGATCAAGAAACACAGCAGGATCTACTGTTTAACCAGTAACTTACCTCACACTTTTCACCCCCAAATAAATACTGATAGTAATAAATAAACTTACTTATGATATCAAATGCTTTTTCTTCATTCCTTCGACTTCCTGTAACTTTGAGGCATTCTGAGATCCAGAAGACACAATTTTCCACGAAGATTGCGTCAGGACACTGCTTTAACAAGGCTGTAAGTTTAAGCAGGACTGTCGGTCTATAACAAGAGTTTGAATATTGCGCCAACAATTTTTAATATGGCTTCAATGACGTTCGATTTCATGATCATTTTAACTTACCCTAGCTTACCATCCCGAAAACGCTTATTTATCGACTTGACTGTTTCTCTTGCCATTGTAGGGGTCTATGAACAGGGTAAAAGTTCAGTGAAGGGAACAAAACCTTTGTCCTGCACGAGTTTCGTGACTTAACTAACCTGACATGCGAACGCACGTTGTTCATCGCAAGCTAATAGGAGCGATATAAATTTCTTGTCCAGCTTCTCTTCGCGTAAGAGTGCTTCCAAAAGAAGCGTCGGTTGATACATTCCTCTCGAAATTTAATAAAAAAATGTTTCGGAAGTACATCTACACCCTCTCCCAGAGCAGCCCCGCTCGGCTTCACGTGCCGTCGAACGAAACGTCAAAACGTCTGCGACAGCCGGCTCGACGCGAGCATGCACAAGGGGTAAGATCAAATAACATCCGGGGGTAGAGACTCCCTTTGCATCTCGGGCGGGGATTGGACCTTTGCGTTGCGTTAAGAGACCATGGAATATCCTCAAATTCTTTGTCATGCCAGAATAACAAGACTAATCGATTATACTTCTACCTCTTACATTTTTTTTTTCGAAAATAAATTACTTCAAAGAGTATGGTTATTCTTTCAATGTCTGTGCCAACAACCTGTAATTGTTTTATATATTACAATGCTGATCTCTCCATTTACTTTTGTACTTACTATTGAACACTTAATAAACTTTATAAGCAAGACATTTATACAAAAAGTAACTTCTATTCGAGTACTCGGTTCTCAACAATTCGAATTTTCAATCAATTTCAATTTTACTGATAATATTCTTAGACCACAGTTATTTACATTATAAAAAATTACATGATTGTCCACAATTTTTTTCTCTGAATCCCACACACAGCCCCAAATAGGGCGCAAGTTGTGCAAATGGAATTTCCAAAAATATTTTGAGTTGATCAGTCAAGATTAACACTGCCACTATTAATAAGTAGCTTAAGAAGATTATGATTTTCAAGGCCATTTAATCTTAACTTTGGACATAATACAAAGGGCTAAATAGTAATAGAAATCAAGTTCGTTCATATCCTTAAAAGATCAGCCTTGAATCTTAATTTTAAGGTTTCTTAAACCTGTAAAATCATGTTGCCAGTGGGATACAGCTTAAAAGTTCATAAGGAAAACTAATATGAGGAAAAGGTACAATAAAATCAAACCAGTGTATATATACCAGAAATTTATTAACATCAGAAATTTTACACTTCTCTGAATTTAATTATCACCCTTCTTAGTGTCAGTCTTACCACCACGGATTCTACCAGTTCTTCTGGCAGCAATAAGACCAACCTTCCTACCAGCACTGGTACCTCTCTTGACAGTGGAAGCTTTACCAATATGTTGATGGTTACCACCACCATGGGGATGCTCTACAGGGTTCATAGCCACACCACGTACCTTCGGCCAGCAGTTGCGCTTAGCCTTGTACTTGTGGTACGCACGACCAGCCTTTAAGATGGGTTTGTCAATACGCCCTCCACCTGCCACAATACCTGCAAAAAGGAATCAAAATTAGATCCAATCTTCATAATTTCTGATCTATAAATTAAGAAATAAAGCTTCAGAAAGAGCCTCTAGAATCTTCACTGCCAATTCAGTATTAGTCGATATTGGTCTTATCATCATATGCAATTTATTTTTTGAATTGCTAAAAATTGTCATGAGCGACAACACTTAAGCAAAATGTCTAAGAACAATTAAATGCAAGAATAATATACGAATGAAATTAGTTCTGTAATGTACATAAACATATCGAACTATTTTACTAAAACATGAGTATCATTAATTTAATATTTTTTGAGGATAATTGTAACCAAGCATACTTTAATAAAATGTACCTAGTCCCAGTTAAATTATGTTTAATTTTAAAACTTATACACACACACTTCAGTTCTAGTATAAAGAGTTGAAATTCTAAATACTGTGAAATGAAGCAAATATTTAAGTTCATGATACTAGATGAATTTATATCCATAAAATTGTGCGAACGGGTCCAAATGGCTGTACTCTTAATATATAAATTTTGGCTATGTTTACTCACCAACCATAGCACGATTTGCTGATGGCATAACTTTCTTAGCACCAGAAGGCAATTTAACACGTGTCTTTTTAGTGTCAGGGTTGTGTGCAATAATAGTTGCGTAGTTGCCTGACGCACGAGCCAAACGTCCTCGATCTCCAGTTTTCTCTTCCAAGTTGCACACAATTGTACCCTCAGGCATGGATCCAACTGGCATTACATTGCCAATCTGTAATGTGGCTGCAAAGAAAAACAGGACATTCCTAAATTAATTATTTCTCTGAAATATATGATTTCAACCAAGTCAAAGATTTATCAGAAAGAGCCTCTGTTGTCATCACGCCATGTCAGAAGTAGGTATAATTTGCTTCATCATATGTAGTTTTAATTCAGTTAAATTGAAACATTGTGTATCGCTGACTTTCTAATACACCAATCTCATGTACGTGATTTTACTTAACTCATTGAATTAAGATATTGTTTTCTCAACCAAAAAATTGTGGAACAAGGTTATTAGAACTACATAGAAGTACCACACATTCACGACAAACTTAAGTTTTGCTTTGTTACACATGAACAGACTAATGTGGCATTACCACGAAATAACACGGAAAAGCGTTCCATACCTTTCCTACCACAGTACACAAACTGGCCTGTGTACATTCCTTCTGGTGCAATAAACAGCTCCTTACGTGTCTTAAATTTGTATGGGTCTCTAAAGTGGACACATGCTAACGGGGCACCACGTCCTGGATCGTGAATGATGTCCTGCAAAAAACAGAAGTCGCAACTCGCTTATCTACGAACGAGAAATCAATAAGCAACGATAACAATTACATGTAACTTACTTTAACCACACCCTTAATGTAGCCGTGTCTCTCAGCGAAGTCCAACGCTCGTAAACGTGGGGCACCTTTCCTGTGTTTGGTGTGACTACGGAATACACTTCCGTGACCCTTCCTCTGGGCGCGAATTACTCGACCCATCTTTCAGCTGCAATTATCAAAAAGAAACATACTTTAACGAAACGCACAAATAAGACTAAACACAAATATTGCAAGCTACAGTATGTGCAACGTGTCTCGCACCCCTACCATGCAACTTCGCGGTAACTTCTTTCGATTAGTTAATACATTAACGACAATATTAATGATTCACAATAATTATCATTACATTTTAAATATAATTATTATTAATATTTACTAAATAATTATTACAACAAGACGATGATTAACGATAGATGTAAGGAAGCTCACCTTCACCTCACAGCTGTATAAAGAAGAACACTGATCAGGATAGCCAAGTTTCTTCCGTCAAATTTGTCTACTGATTCATTGCCAACTAAACAAAACAAAAATATTTTGTGGTATATTTATATTACAATGTAAACAACGTCTTTATGTGCCCCAAAACAAGTAAGCATATAGGAAAAAGTATAGATTCGATTAATACGGAGAGTTCAGTAGTTTTTCAGACGAGAAGGTGATAAGTGTCAGACCAGAGCAAAGTAATCTACGAGTCAAAGAAGTTGCATGAAAGCTATCTTTTGAAATTTATTTCATTGTATTGAAGACTTCTTTTTTTAATTCATGGTAATGATTATGATTTAAAGATGAAAAACAATCATTTAGCAGATATTATCATTTATCTCCTGAAAATGTCCTTAAAGAGTGGAATTCAAATCCATGATGGTTTTGAGAATGCCAGCATTATGTTTGAAAATCAGTGCTATTATACTAAAAATTCGAGAGAATAATGATCTATTATTACTCTCTTTATATCTCTTATTTTAAGTCATTGTATTGACAGCTGTAGAGGAAACAATTTTTAGGGATCAGAGTTTGTGATACGATCACGGTTCAAGAATGAACTTCTATGAGAAGTGTACCATGGGCACGATTCGTTCACGGATGCTTTTGATTTCGAGAATGAGTCACTAACGGCTCAGCAATCACAATGTAGGAAATATCCTACACCGTGGTGGACACTTATGATGGTGGCTGGCGTCCTTATGAGAGAGTATTAAAACACGTGAAAAAGATTTTCAATTTTATTTGCTGTATTTAATTGTAGCATTTTTTAAAAAGTAGCTATCAAGAATTAAGAATTAAACAATAAAGACAGAAAAAAGACAAGGAGCCCATCACAAGGGAAGAAACAGATTAACCAAATTAATTGTTCAAGACCAAAATTTGTTGTAGTTTTAAGAGAAAATAATATTTCGGACAATTTTATGTTATATTCATTTTTGAAAGTTAAAGTGGGTGGAAGACGTTTCATTTCTTTAAATATTGCCGAAAAGGAAGAATCATTAGCAAAAATAGTTTTAAAATTTGAATTGGAGTATTCGCTCGTTGCTCAGCTTGTTGCTCGTCGCTCGCCTTTCACCAAGGAACTTCGGATTCGATTCCCATCGATTGTGAAATTTGTTTAAATAAAATGAGTTTGGCTGCTTCAGAGCTAGTGCAATCCCCGTGAAGTGTCCTAAACACTACCTCTGTCCTAATTCTTTCCCAATTCTGGCACAGGAGCGCGCAAGAGAGGCGCGTACGCGGAGTGCTACTTGGCGGTCCTCATGACCATGATGTACGGCTGACAATGACTACTATACGACTTACCATATATATTGTGGCGTTAGAACCATGCCGCAAACCCCATAAACACCCACTCTGCTTCGGCTACGCCAAGACAGCTTCTTGCAACACAGGCGCACCTCTGATAAGGGTACGAAACAGCGCGCCCTATTAGGGAGTTTTAGCGTCACGAGTAAGGTAGCGGCGTTATGCACTAACAGTCACGTGACAGACCTTGAAGTCATAACGTCTTACCTTAGGCCCAAGGTACGACCTTATACCTTCATAAATAGTGCACACTGTGGGAATCTCTACGGGCACCTTACAGGCGGCAAAATGGCCGCCTAAAAACAGGAAAAGTTGTTTTTTCCAACTCTAATAAACCAATTCTCGTATGTAAGGCAGTTACAATTATTCCTTACGAACTCCACAACGCTGGCAAAAATTAACGGGATATGTTGGACAGGTGACAGAAAAGAAATTCGCGAAAAAAAAGTTCAAATCATATCTTCGATAAGGTTATGTCTTATGCTCATAACGAACGCTGTTTAAGGTACTTCCTATATTTTCAAGAAAAGATAATTTAGATTCGAAATCTAAAACTCCATGCACAATGTGTATTTGCTGGTCTGTTGACTTGTAACCTGTTTTAAATGTCTCACCATTACCCTACACTCTTTGATATATTATGCAATTTCTCTGTTCAACGCTTGAAATGCTTCCTTTGTTATAATGCATAACGTAATGTAGCAATTGCTAAAACTCTTATGAACGTTGTTCATTACGACCTTATGAAGGCGTTAGTCACGTGATCAATAGAGTTTAAGGATATCTCCGTACGCATGGCGCTAAAAATCGGATTGAATTACTGCCTGGACAGAGAAATGTGGTTAATACTCCTCTTGTTGAGCTCAAAAATGTATATGTGCCTCCACTGCACATTAAATTGGGTCTCGTTAATAACTTTGTGAAAACCTTTAACAAAACATCATCTAAGTTCATATATTTGCGAGAGAATTACCCGGAAGGACCAGTGAAACAAAGAATATAGGAAGAAATATTTGAAGGACCCAAATGAGAAAATTAATAGCAAATTTATATTAAATAATGAACATTTATTTAATTTGTTGAGTAATGTTGAAAAAGAAAAGGCTGTCCTTCACAAGTGACTGTAAAACTTTTAGGCAACTATAAGGCAGAGAATTATCGCGATATTGTACATAAACTATTGAAATGATATCACCGTGCGAGATGTAACATCCCACTTAAATTACATTATTTGAATGATCATTTGAGCTTATTCGCAGATAATCTCTGTGCCGTTAGTGATGAACATGGCGAACGGTTGCACCAAGACATTTCTCGAATGGAAGAGCGTTATCGAGGCAATTGAATTGACGCAATGTTGCTTGACTACTGATGGAACTTAAGAAGAGACATTTCTGAGGCAAAGTATTGCAAGAATTCGGGAAGAAACTATTTTAAGTACGTTTCTTCACTTTTCTTAACACTTATGTTGTCGTAATTTGTATTGTTTAAGTGTGAACAGCTGTTAATAGAGCGTTACATTTTGCCTGATACATATATAACATACGGAGACATACACATTTGCAAAAACAATCATCACATGAAAACTGTTGCCGATACAGAAATTCTGAAATTAGATTTCGGTTCAGAGGCAAATTATCTTATAGAAACAGCGTGCTTTATTCTACAGATAAAAAGGTTTTTTTGTATACCAGTGTTATTTACTCACCAAGCTATTTTTGCACGTGTGCTTAATGCCATATTTAATTCAGTCTTGGGTGTGTACTATTTTCTGTTTGAAATAAAAGATTCCCAAAATTTGTTTCTGTAACATCAATAAATTCACTGTAATGCCAGAAATTTTAAAAATATTCATACCACAATGTTCCGTTAAAACCCGATCACTGTCAATTCTGCTCGTCTCGTCATATACATTACTTTCGGAACAAGAAGAAACGGAATACAGTTCCTAATCACCATTGAAACGGAGTACATAAATATAGATTCATTGCGGACGTAAATCGAGTTTCGTTTACTCTAGACAAATATACACAGAATGGCACAAAATGGAGAGCAGTGATACGTTGCATGAAATTCCATGTGTTTAGAATCACCAACAGCCATATGAAAAAATGAGTCTCGAAAGTTTAAAATTTTCGGTTCGTGAATAAACACAGATATAGTATTGTGACCAGTAGCCTTGTTAGCACTGCATTACGATGACGAGGTAGAGGGCTTCTGGTGAAGTAGCCTTGTTAGTACTGCATGACGATGACCAGGTACGTTGTGGTTGTGGCGGCGCCTGCGAAGTCGCACAGCATGCGCATGTCGAAGGCGAAGAAGGGCTTCTGGTGAAATAGCCTTGTTAGTACTGCATGACGATGACGAGGTACGTTGTGGTTGTGGCGGCGCCTGCGAAGGCGAAAGCTTGCGAAGGGCGAAGGTGAAGAGGGCTTCTGGTGAACTATCCTTGTTAGTACTGCATGACGACGACGAGGTAGGTGATGGCGGCGCCCGCGAAGGCGCACAGCAAGCGCAGGTCAAAGGCGAAGAGGGCTTTGGGTGAAGTGCCTTGTTATAATGCTGACGATGACGAGGTAGGTGGTGCGGGCCTGCGAAGGCGCACAGCATGCCGCAGGTCAAAGGCGAAGCCGGGCTTTGGGTGAGTAGCCTTGTTAGTATGGCATGACGATGACGACGTGGTGGTGGGGCGGTGCGAAGGAGCACAGCATGCGCAGGTCTGAAGGGCGAAGAGGCGTTTGGGTGAAAGTAGCCTTGTTAGTACTCGCTGACGATGACGAGTAGGTGGTGGCGGGCTGGAAGGGAGCATGCGAGGTCCACAGGGAAGAGGGTTTGGCGTGAAGTAGCCTTGTTTAGTACTGCATGACGATGACGAGGTAGGTGGTGGCGGCGCTGCGAAGGCGGCCGTAGAAGGCGAAATGGGCATCGGGGAAGTAGCTTGTAGTATGCCATGACGATGAGAGGTAGTTGGGTGGGTGCCTGCGAAGGCCAAGCATGCGCAGAGTGAAGGCGAAGAAAGGCTTCTGGTGAAGTAGGCCTGTTAGTACTGATGAGATGAGGAGGTAGTGGTGGCGGGCTGCCGTAAGAGCAAGCATGCGACAGGTGAGGGAAGAGGGCTTTGGTGAACTATCTTGTTAGTACTGCATGAGATAGACGACGTAGGTGGTGGGGCGCCCCGCGAAGGGCACGTACGAAGGCGAAATGGGCTTTCGGGAGAAGGTAGACTTGTTAGTACTGCATGACGATGACGAGGTAGGTGTGGCGTCGGCCGAAGGCGAACATGAGCAGGTCGAAGGCCGAAGAGGGCTTTGGTGAACTTCCTTGTTAGTCACTGGCATGACGATGACGAGGTAGTTGGTGGGGTGCTGCGAAGGCCCGAAGCGCAGGTCGAGCGAAAAAGCTTCTGGTGAAGTACCTTGTTAGTATGCATGACATTGACGAGGTAGGTGTTGGCGGCGCTGCGAGGCGCAGCAGCGATGCGCAGGTCAAGGCGAGAGGGCTTTGGGTGAAAGTAGCCTTGTTAGTACTGCATGCGATGAAAACGAGGTTTAGGTGGTGGCGGCGCCTGGCGAAGGGAAGTAAGGAGAGGAGAATGGGCTTCGGGTGAAGTGCCTTGGTTTGTACTGCATGACGAACTGACGAGGTGTTTGGGGTGCATGCGAGGCCACAGCATGCGCCGGTCGAAGGCCGAAGAAGCTCTGGTGAAGTAGCCTTGTAAGTCTCGCATGAGAATGACAGGGTAGGTGGTGCGGGCCCTGGCGAAGGGCACGCATTGCGAGGTCAATGTGCAGAAGCAAGATACTTTGCGGAGGAGTCAGGACTGTGTAGTATTCGCCACTGAGTGGACTAGGAACTTGTACTTTTGCTATTATGTGTTTATAGGGTGATGATGATGATGAGCTGACTTAAGTGAACATTGTTGTTGATGTGGGATCGTATTGTAGGATGTTAGTTACTAGACATTACAGCTGTAGGAGGGGAGTGCTGAAGTGATAGGTGATTTTGGTGGTCAGCTGATATATGGCTTGGGTGTCATTTCTAGTTGCAGTGTGCAGTTGTTTTCATATAAGAATTCAGTCGTTCTGATGGGGGTAATTTTTTACAAACCCGATTATTTTAGGCCCTTCGCAGATTAAGGATCCACGAATATGAAGTGTGTCTTGCCCCGCCGCGTCGGCTGATGGATATTCTGGGCAGTACCGGTGGTATAAGCTATCTGGGCTGATGGAAATTGGGTTAAGAGAATCAGCTTTTAATTCTGTAGTTGTGGATATCTATAACCTGTTTTAGGGTGATTGAATGAGGAAACTACTTTTATATTGTTATATATTTATGTCGGGTGATTATTTGACGAGATAGATTTGATGGGGTGAAAGAGTCGTGTGTTGGTGCACACGTATGAGACTTATCTTCTATAGTGCAGAGGATAGGGCACGGGGCAGCAAAGCTGACGGGGCAGACTCAGGGGTCGATGGACGGACGCTTGCCTCGTGATCTTCATATTGAGTCACAGAATGTTTTCAGAAACTTGACCAAGTGCAGAAAATAAATGCGTTAGGAGGATGTTGGTGGCAATTGGATTGGGTGTGTGTTAACAGGTTTCATATGTATATTCGATGTGTATTGAAATTCAGAGAGGTAGTCTCTTGTTTATAGTGTTCAACATTAGTACTTGTTTTATGGTCTGTTCTCGTTAGTCGATTTGTAGGTTCGTATTTTTCTATTGATTGTGTGGTGAAGCGGATTAGTTGACAATTATTGAGGTCGATTAGGGAGATGTTAGTTTTTTTGAATTTTTAGCAGAGATGTCTATACGAATGAGGATAGGTTGTAAGAGAGGCCGTCATTAGGTATCTAGATAATTAGTAGAGATTAATAGGGGATGAAGGTCGGGATATCATAATGTATGTTTAGCGATATTTTTTATTGTTGGTTAGGATTTTGGAGAATAATGTAGTATTATTATAAAATACATATTGTGCGTTTGTTTATAGTTGTTATGTGGATTTTATCCAGTATGTAGATAACATTTAGCGGATGTTCGTGGTTTTACAAATATAATGAATACTAATTGTATTTGACGATTCTTTCTATTCTTTTTCGACGTTCATATTCTATTTAAGAATATATAAATGATGTTATACATCTATAAAAAACGATGATATTTTTTAATGATGATCTGTCTCGAGGTTTCTCTTGTTAATGTAACTGGGCTGTAGGCGGGAGCCCATTACTCCCATCGATATAAAGCCGTAGTTAGAAGGATTTGGATAATAAAACAGACTCTGTGGGTTTTCCTTTGACAGATGGGTTCGGCATCGATTCCTTCTGCGGGTTTTTAGAGGTCTCACTATATATTTTCCTTTTTGTTTCTGGTATTTGGCCCTTATTATAGACATGTCTACATTTGGTATTGTTCTCGGGTGGTTCTTTATGGTTTTCTTAGGATATACTGTGTGTGAAATTAGACCGATTATGATTGTCATATATAGGGAGTTTCAAGTCGGGATAACGGTTGGTTCATACATAAAGTGGAATAAAGTCCGAAGCGACGATGTAAGAGCGGAGGTTAATTATTCAATTAATTACGTGTATGAAGGTTCGGACTTTTAGATGTTCGATTTTTATAGATTATAATTGGATTATCCTGAGTATAGGCTAATCATTTCGGTTCTTTGTTAAGAAAGTTGCTTAATTTGGGATGGGTAAATTTTCTAAACTCTTCATACATGCATTTTTCGGTGATTTTATATACTAAGTATTTTATCGCATATTCATTTGTTAAAAGGAGGTATTAGTGGATTCAGGGTATGGATGGGATGTGCGATGCTATGAATTATTATCCTTATTTGGCATTTGTTTATTTGTTACACTTACAGGAAAGTTAGTATCTTGGCACTCCTTTATTGTTGGGAGGGTTGTACTAGAGGGACAGTGCGGGATAAGTATTAGAAAGTTGGGACAAAGGGTGATTGAAAATTACCTTCAACCGAAAGTAAAGACAGGATATATATCTAGAGATAGAATATCAGACATGTGTTGATTGATAGAATTTACATCATTTTATATATCTTGGGCGGTAATATTATCAAATACAGGGAGGAAGCTCTTACGCATTAGACAGTTTCTCTGGGCTACAAGGATCATTCTTGATGTAATGTGCTTACTATCCCTCGAGTTTTCATTTATTTTAAATTTTGTATTTAACGACTATAATAGAAAAGTGTTTAAAATGTTGATAGATTATTCTATATATTATTGCTCACGTTGGCATTGTTAATTTACAATTTGGTATGGGTTGGCTAGAATAGTTTCAGACATTAGGGTATTATATGTTTATTTATCATATATTAGAACATTAAGATTTTAGTTTCTATTTCTTATATATAGTTATTTGTTATGCTCATTTGTGGCTCTTAGTTTGTATGGATATATGTTACCAGTATTCTGTAATATTAATTTAAGTTTAATATAACTTCGGTTGATGGGCTTTATTTTGTTTGTCTGGCAAGGTACTCGGAATACCTTTGATACGTATGTGGTCATTAAGTCTACAAATATTTTGCGTAATCTGAAGACTAATTACGGTTTTCTAATATTTTTAATGGGATTGTGAGGTAATAAAATGTTTTCGCTACACGCCGCGCTTTATCGCATATACTAGTTTCTTATTTGTGGATTTTATTACGAATATAGTGATTGACTTGTTCGGAGAGATAGTGGCAGCGAGGACGTGTGGGGAGGTGGTGATTTGGGATCGTGTGATTACTGTGGTAGTGTGAGTGTACGGCGGCGGCGTTGGTGTTTAGAGGTACAGAGTTTGTGTCGTGGAATTAGGTTGGTACTTTGGGATAGAAGCTGAGAGCGTTATGCTCGCAGCGTTCAGTGCAAGTGTGTTTTTAGGTGCGGAAACCCGGCGCGGTCATAGATGAACTACCTTCTCATAGGTTTGACTATCGGGTTCGTTATATAACTAGTGGTCTATGTTATGCAAGCAGAATTATTTGTGACAAAGTTGAGGTGGGTTGACTTCAGTATATCGCTTATTGATGGTGTGGTCTTAAGTATTTTAGATAGCTAATAGCTCGATAGGAAAGATGAGGATATAGGGATTAACGATATAATGTAGAATTATGTGATTTTGAAAAGATTGACTAGTTGCAAATTTGTTGGTAATTGAAGCATCATCAATATATAGATTTTATCCTGTAAGGGTTAATGTCTTAAATGACAATTTTTATATATCATTTCTAAATGTTGGAGTGGCGCTGAAATATTTATCTAAAAATAGTTGTTTTAATTATTATATTGCGATCACGCAATAGTTAAAATTTTATTAAGATTTATGGGTGGAAGGAATATTATTGTATTGAAGGTGAGATGATAAGGCTACTAAGTTGAGAGTAATTGGACTGTTCTACATGTTCTTCCTTGTGGATGGTCTTAATATATCAATTGATTTTAGGAATTTTTTAGATTGGTTTTGAACAATTGCTCCATCTTCGTGGAGGAAAATCTGCCTTTTGGGTGTGATTGTGCAAATAGGACGCTCATTCGTGTGTTATCTTTCGCATGCGGAATTATGAGTATGCGATTCTTGCTGCTGTGTTATCATACATTGACTGTGTTTTTGTATCTAAGGTTTTGCTTACAATTATTTAGTGAGGTAATTATTGGAGCACATTTTATACTCTCAGGAAAAAGAAGGGAATGTTTTAGACTTAATTAAGGATGGAGATATATTGATTATATTTCTGTTATGATTATAATATACTCATCGATTTGGAATAGATAATCGGTGTGCTATTTACTGATAGCTATCACTTTGAATTTAGTTTATTTTAGTGTAGTGTTTATTTGAATATATATAGTAAGAAGTTTTTATAATCTTATATCTGAAGTGATCTATATTATTTATAAATGCATCAGCAAGGTTTTAATAATTGAACTTTCTGGATTGTACGCAAATTTAATGTTCCTTATTTGGATAGTTATATTTTTCAAATAAGATGCTTTTAATATAATTAGCAGTAAGAGCTATCTGTTAAAATATAGGGAGTTTTGAATTTTATTAGAAACAATTAGCATATTAGATAATGGTCTATAAATTTAAAAGGAGCGTTCTTGAGCATTAGAGAGGAGGAATCTCAAGTAATTTTAATGGTATAGAGAGGAGAATATCTCGATATGGCGGGTTAATGTTAATATACTTGATATCAATAAGGTTTAGAATAATTAAGTTGTACAATAATATATAGCGGTTTATATTTAGTATGGACATCTTCGAATTGTTGAGCATGTGAATATTTTCACTATAGATTCGGATAATGTTGTTTGTGTTGTCTTGAATTTTTTTACAAGGCACAATATAATTTTAAAAAATCCGGGTTTTTATTCAAAAGTTTTAATATGGCTTATCTATCTTAGATGCGATATGTATATAATCTTAGATATAGCTCTCGATATTATAAGTGTAAATTATTTCCTTTATTAGTGAACTCATTTTTGTAGAAACATTAAAATTTAAGGGAGATACATAGTATAAGTCTCATTTAAAGGATTTATATAAATTTATCATAGGTGGGATGTAAGATAATATTGACATAAAAGTGATCCAATTCCCCAAATATTAACAAAAGGGAAATGTTGGTTGTACTTTTTTCTTGCTGTTTTCCAATTACCAGTTGGAAGTTTTGGGTTTTGTATTACTATTATGCATATGGCGGATTCTAGATTGGATATGGCATCTTCTGCTATTGATAGAAAATATATTCTTAGATACTTTTAGGATTTATAAATATAATTTAATTTCCTTTTCTTAGTATTATGATCTAGATATATATACCATTAATGGTAAATTTACCAGAAACTAACTATGGATGTGGATTTCATAATTTGAGCTCGAATTGATGGTAATGGATTCGTTTATGTGGGTCTCTTTATAATGCTTTGTGGATAGGAGGTGTACGTGTGAGCTGCCGGTGTGTGTGGATGGGTAAGTTTTAGGAGTTTGCTTATCAGGGTGGATACTTGAGTATTTTTTAATTTTTTGGGGACTGAATAGATTGTCATTTTTGCTGTTCACTTTAGGATTTAGTGGGGGATGGAAAGACTTCAAGTTAAGATTATTGGGTGTGTTATTTAGAGGATTCATTAGCATGTTTAGGTATTATTAGATATCTTTACTCAATGAGGGGTGTTTGTTGTTGGAGACATTTCAGAGTGAAATCATTTTTGTGGTTTATGTGTTACGAATCAGATCTATAATTGATATTATTAGTCTTAAGGTATCAAGCATATGGCTTATGCTTATCGTGTGAGGAAAAATTGAACTCAAATATGGTTAAGATAGTTTCTTATTATATGAAGGTGTGGGATTTAAAATGGAGAGGATGGGTGGCGAAGGAAGAGAAGTATTATGGTTATTTTAGATTTGTGTTATGATGGTTGGTTATTAATCTTACTAGAATCTCGTTACATTTATTGTTCAGGATTATTACGTGATAACATCATTGAAACTTAGAAATAATAATAAAGCATTTGTGTGTTATTAGCAGAAAATTTAATTCTTTTTCATTATATCACTGCTTCTATATTAGTGATTTATCTACGTTGATTTATGAAAATTTGCATTCTTTCTACTTACGGCTGACCACAGGAGATAATCTATTTACAGGAATGTAATTATATGGACATGTTTTTTTCTGGATGGGATATAGATTTAAATTATTTGTAGATTTATTATGTTCTTATTGGAATTTTATTATATTGCCTAGATATATATTTTGTTGTTGCTAGATCTTATTATTATAATATTACATTTATTTGATATTTGATAATATATTAGGTTAAATGATAAAATAGGATTATTAACTTGGAGTAGAGATGAAAAAAGGAATGTTGACAGGTTGACATGAGGAAAGTGGTAGCTGTGTTTAGCCACATTGTTTCTAGAATGTTTTGGACGTTAGGCAGGCGAGTATTCATTTTCGTTAGATATAATCTATTCTATTAGTTTGTTAGCGTAGTGTTGACATGGTATGCATGTTTATATAATCATAGGGATTCAGCGGGGATGGGGCGTTTCTGGGAGTTAATTCAAGGGTTTGGAAAGATCATCAGTATAAACGCACATAGACATCTCATCTTTGTATGGAGCGCCACGGTAGAAAATAACTCTCCGCTCGGAAATTGAAACTTGATTGGCTGTTAGAACAACCATTTTCATGCTGATTACGGTCTGTGGTCTATGAATTGGAATGATTTTCATTTTTAACCATCCAGTCTAACGGAGATCATCGGGCTTTTCACAGGCAAGGAAGGTTTACTATATTTAACATCATCTGAGATATGCGAGTCAATTCTGGAATTACGGCACGGCATGGCTTCGAGTGCTAGTGGCGCGGGAGGAATCGTGGTAAGGACTGGGATGAAAATCCAGAGCGAAGATCTGCGGGCATACGTATAAGGCCGATAGTTTCATTTCAATTCAATTCAACTAGCAAAGGAGCATCC